TGTAACGAACTATACTATATCTGGTCAATGCTAGAATCTTTGATTATCCTCGTGCCGCTTCACATATCATTACTCACATAAACGCATGGTTTTCGTGTGTTCGGTTCAAGGGTACGTTTTAAGGCTTAGAACTCGAAGATGGACTCCCGACTTTTGACACACCATGAAGATCGGCAAGAGATCAAACCAAGGATGGTGGTGGGATCACTTCGTGGAGCACCCAGGTTATGCTGTCAAAGACCCAGCTTCGATGGTCAGTGGAAAGGCAAAGGTAGTGTGTGCAAGGCTCTATGAGCAACGTGTTGCGCATGAGCAGGCAATGGATGAGCAGCAGGTACACTTGGGCCAGCGAGATGCACCAAGGGACGAAGTGGCAATAGCAGGCACTCGTACGCAAGTTTGTTTTATAGCTTTCTGTTACTAACTTAATGTACTAGTTTGGGCTAGTGGCCCGAATGATCCCCAACGCAACTGAGACACTCACCCTTCTGGCAGAACTCAAGATGTATGTTCACGAAGAGCATGTACGCAACGATGTGGTCAAGAAGTGGCTTCAACGCCGGTACTGTGACACCGAGGCCACTGACAAAGCAGAGCCTACTCAAGTAGTTCATGCAGTTGGCGACAATCTATCAGGAGAAAGCAGCGAACGGGAGCCACCCAGCCTCGCTTTCGAGAGGCGAGGGATAAGTGATGTTGCAGCAGACCTTATCCGAGCTGTTCAGGAGGAGAAGGAGATTTCCACCACAGAATCAATGCACTCAGTCCCCATTGGTGCTGCCGGTGCCGGTGGTTCATTCTCCCGCATTGCTATCAGTGACTTACTCGACTATTCTCGTGCGGAGGAATAGTTGGGATCTTTTTATAAAGTCGCTATTCGAGGTTTGGATGCTGAGCTTGAGTTATATGAGCTTCTTGACTTAGATGCCGAGGGAATTGATGATCCAGACTTTCCTCAAGTTGATGATGTTCTTGACGAGTAGATAAATGAGCAGTGCTACCAGATGTTATAGTAGTAGTAGTCGAGTACTATCCATTCTGCGATTGTTGACGCACCGTGTACTGCGGCACTTTGAACCTGCTTCATCGTCCAATCAGATATGATTATCTAATATTCAAGCAGGACATCTGGCACTGCACGAGTTCAGTTCACTTGCATTCATGGGAAAGTTCGCGGCTGAACGTACGTTAACTTTGATAAACGTACACTGACCGGCAGAACACTGATGCAACGCTACATCAACACTGTTGGGACTTGCGAGTGTTATCTGTCCTCACTATGGTGTGATATTCGACATTTCTTGCAGCATTATTCGATATGTTCGTCTCTTCAGCGAGCGACGTGATCAGTTCGATGAACGGTAGCACCATCTGCAGCGAAACTCAGGCTGTCAAGTCAGATGGAGTGCGTGCAGAGAAAAGTAGACAGGAGCACGAAACACCGTTTGTCATTGAAGAAAGGCTGTTGGGCATGCGCAAAGACGCCATCTGAATTCCGAGATACGAGGACGTCGTCGGGACTCTAGATTTCTTACCGGTCGACCTCTCCAAGTCAAGAGAACGTCCATACGTCTCCTTACGTCGAAGACTAGTAGGTTCCCACCCTGTTGCAGCTTTGCTTTGTTGATTCAATGCATTTTTCAGGACTAACTGTTCGCCGTCAACACAAGATTAAGGATGTAACGTCCAAGGGTATTCCTGTCATCTGGATCATTTGATTCTTCTTAGTATAGTCCTTGCGCTATCTTCCGCCGACAATGTTCAGAGCTAGACGTTATAATCGAGTCCCAATTCTTCAGCAATGATCATCGCAGCCTTCTCTCCAATGAGGAGCGCCGTCGAATACGTGTTCTTGGGAGATAGTTAGACCAAAGGCGGCGTAATCTGGTTGGGTACTCACCGTGCCGACATTCTTTGGCACAATAGACATATCAGCAACCTTAAGGTTTGTGACGCCGTACACGTTTAGCCGAGCATCAACGACTCCTTGTTCCGCCCGCGGTTTCATGGCACAGGTACCGAGCTGCATGCAAAAGAATCAAAAACCCCATTTCAAGTCATCTTAGCTGTACTCACCGAGTGCCAAGTCGTTTGCACTACGATTCAATCCATAAGTAACCGGAACGACGGAAATGCAAAAGCTAATACATACCGCAGTCACGATGATAATTTTCAATGGCCTCGTCATCTTCGGCAGTGTAGATAATGTCAGGTGCATTTAGGTCGACTGGCCCAGACGCTTCTCCGCAAGCCGCAGCGCTCCCCTCTGGGAATTTAGGATGGCCTACAGCGACTTCGCCTCGGTAGGAAGGCAACCTTCGGTAGATCTCGCGCATCTTCTTGTATGCAAAGTTGATTGGTACGATATCGGATGGACTGATGAATAATGATCAGTCATGCAATGGCCCTATAATGAAATGTGCCGACTCACTCTTCCAAAAACCCCGTCGTGAAATCGAGCGCCTCTTCACCGTTTTCGTCCACTTTGATATGCACGCTTCCAGCAGATGCGGGGTAAAGCTGTCGAAAAATTCAGCAAAATCCACGGGACAAGGAAAGAGAATTACTGTGAAGTAGGCAGCCGTCATGTAGTTGCGGGGAGGAAGGGTACCAACAAGCGGTCCAAGGTATCTAGTCATCGTGAGCTTTCATATCAGGGCGACGAAATAAACACGCACCCCGCGACCAAGGTAAATATTGCAACACACTTGTCCGGGTGGTCTCGGAAGAACCCGTTCCATCGTTGGTGGAAGGCTGGACCCATGGCTTTCAGCTCCTCGGCATCAGGACGCCACTTGATTTTCGCATCGACACCACTGAGATATGAATCAGTACGTATCAAGTAATGATAATTAGTAATCTGACTCACTTCGAAGCAATGAGTGATGTTCCATTAGCGGTCCATTGTGCGAGGGCATCTATAGTTGGCTGTTTTGAAAGGCGCCGAGAACATTATGAAGTCATGCTCACCTTTTGTAGCATTCTCCTCCCCGCGCCAGAGGGGGTCCATGGTGATTGCCTCGTCAGCAGCCAAGTATGGAACCAAAACAGCATCATGATCTGATACCCATAAGTCAAGACCATTGATATATTGATGATATCTTACCTGTGTAATTTTCCCCAACACCCGGCAGGTTAACAAGTGGTTTGATGTCGCATCGTTTGAGCACTGCCTCGGCGCCAATACCAGACCTCTCGAGAATGGCTGGGGAACCAAATGCTCCAGCAGATACGACGACGAGCTTTGAAGCTTTCACAGTACTTAATGACTGGTCTGCACCTGGGCAAGACACAGGGTCATTGGTAAACTCGACACCTACAGCACGTTTGTCCCTGTGGTTTGGAAAGGGTGTCAAGAGTTGGTGACAGATGCGAGGGCACAAACCACTCACTCGAAAATAATGCGTGTCACGCGCTTGCCAACCCATATTTGTAAGTTCGGATTCTGAGCTTGGTTGTAGACATAGCAGTGTGCTGCGTCGGAACGCCTTCCGGTGGTGCTATCGATGTACCTTTTTACACATGAATTCAAGCCACAATTTGAAGCTACGAGAAATATGCTCACTTCGCCCATGGCTGTGTGGTACAACTTTAATCAGTGGCTGCAGGAATGGAAGTAAAATAGAAAACTCACACTGTATGTATTACATGTTTTTAAATCATTGGTGTCTTCGGAATATGGCCTCTTGTGATAGGTCATACCAACACGAACAAACTCTTCACTGATGGCTAGTTTATGCCCACCAGGGGACACCTTGACAGGTCCTGTATACCCATGAGTTGAACAACCGGGCTGCACCTGGTATGTCTCAAACTACGAAATGCAGTGCGAGTCAGCATGACAAATATATAATTAGCTCGAGCAAAAGAGGACCTTCTTCATGAGAGGGATCAAATTCTTCGATTCCCAACCTTCAACTGCCCAATCATCATAATCTGAGACAGGTGCACGAGTGTATGCCCCAACTATCTATATATCAGCACCTGTTCATTTCGGCAAAAATTGTACAAACAATTGATAGTTGATGCTCCACCTACTGAACGACCAGATGGAACAACCAAAGTACGTCCATTGAGATGTGGAGAGGGATTTCCGAAGTTGAATGTGAGTGTTGTGGTTGTTGGGGCCAGATGGAATGGGTACTGGTAAAGTTGAACATGAGCAGGTTTGTCTAGGGTGTGTTCACCAGCTTCGAGAATCAGAATCTTTAGCGAGGAATCACATGCAGCTAGGCGACCTGCAACGACACATGCTGTGGCACCACCTGCACAAAACGCGAGATTAAATTACAACAAAGATGTTATGTAATACTGACCTCCAGCAAAGATAATATCGAACTCTGTTGGGGATGGAGGAGACATTTGATCTTTGTAGATTGCTCGTCAGTGTCTCCATCTTATATGCACTTGCTCATCAGATGATGGCTGCCCAACAATTGTGTTTCGATTTCGAGGTCATTCGGTGTTTACCCTACATTTGTTTGGACAAAGTTTGTCACCATCATCGGCTCTGAGGACCGTGCGATGATGAATCTGCCTCATGACATTCATAACATCTCGTCGTATCAGAAGTGCTAGTCTCAATCTGTAATATGGTTTGATGGGCACCAGGAGAGGACCTTCAGTTACGGTCTATTGGTGATGAACTTCCATTTCGTGATTCCACTTTTGTGGTACATCGCACAGCTCGAAGCAAACAGGTGTGTTTCATGTCCTAAATTGTCCACTTAGTAGGTCCGCAGTACTATATTCACTCCAAGCAAGTTTACGTTGTTTTGAAATAGAAACATCCCATCCCACGTTGTCACAGTATCTGCACTGCATCGAAAACGGGCTATACATGCTAGTCATGTGCACCAAATAACACCTGGCCAACGTTGCCTCGAAGCAATGCATACATATGTACAACTCCAGTCTGTTTTTGTATGTAATGATACATAAGAGGATATCCATGCTTTTCGAGTCGCACGTTCCCCTTGCATCTCACAGTCTTCTCCACCATGGCATCAGGTATACCATTGGATGCAGGAGCTTTAATGTCGACAGTGCTGGAAGGCATCCTATATGGTGAGCATTGCAATTCAGATCTTGTCTAAGCTAATATTGGTTTTACACAGGCCTTTCGATACTCTTGTTCATCGGTACCATTTGGTCTTTGACCTACAAACGTCACAAACAAGATATTAATCTCCCAATTCTCATCGTGGCAGTTCTGCTGCTAATACTGAGTACTGCTGTTAGTAGCCTCTCGCATCTTATATTTGATGTTGTTTATTGACCTTCTCTGAAGCATATGGTTGTGAATATTGTTCGAGTTGAAGATGGACTAGTGACAAATCGCTATGAGTACCCAGACGGACCATCAGAATATTTTGCAGATGTTTCACAGAAGACTTATGTGATAAAACATTTGTTCTATGTGATGCAAACTCTCCTAGCTGACGGTGTGGTGGTAAGTTCGTAATTTGATTCCTAGTTTAAAACCCTGCTTACAGAAGTGCTTGTGCTCGTAAAAAGATTTATCGTTGCTATGTTGTTTGGCAATCTGTTTGGATTGTCGTCCTACCAATCATTCTGTGGTGCAGTGTTGCAGGTTCGTCACGATCATACTTGCTGGCTCATCATATGTTCTGACATTGCCTCAAAGTAACTGGTCTCATTGCAATTTACAGTGTCTCGCAAGCCAGTACTGGTGATGGGATCTTCGTCAAAGCACTTGCACAATGGGTCACAGCATTTTTTGCCTCGACAATTGCAACCAACTTGCTGAGTTCAGGTAAGTAATCTCTGCATGAGTGCGACATCGAGCCATGAATGTATGTGCAGGATTATTGGCATATCGCATCTGGATTATCCAACGTGGTGTCTCTGGGGTTCACAATACGTCGAGGAACACTGTGATGCCGATAGTGCGTGTGCTCGTGGATGCCGCTATTCTGTACTCTGCAGCGTTGTTGACTGCATTAATACTGTTTGTCTCCGGAAACAATGGACAGGATGCTGTCGTAGACATGGTGAGTCGGCCGTTGACACTTTTATCGAAATCCATTGAACTCGAGCGACTAGGCCATGCCGATCATGTCGATTGCCTTCTACATGGTGCTTATTCGCATCGCACTTAACAAAAAACAGCACAGTTATGTGTCGACGCAGACGAGCATCAGTATTCCTAGACGACCAGGTGACCAGCGAGGCAGAACAAGAACGCGCACAACAACAATATGCTATGAGGCCTCTACAGGTCCATGTATCCAAGTTCACACATCAGGAGCGACCATCGTCAAGCAAGGATTCTATGAAAGGAACATCTCCACCTTACGACGTGTAATCGATAACTCCAACCGCTTATGCCCCGAAAACGAATATAAATCTTGATTCGTTCAATTACGACACACATGAAACACTCACGCGGGCGATCACGGTCGCATACCTTTGCGGAGATACACCAGGAGGCTTTTCGTACTGGTGAAGCCTCCCGTTTTTGGCAACACTCGAGCAGTGGCGAGGCTGATAGCGATCTCGAATTACCCTTTCCTTTCTTTCTTGGACGTGAGTTATGATAATGGTTTATATATTACACAATCTCCGTACGTATTGTACATATCCCTAATGAAGTTAGCATTTCAAAGTCGCATCTGCGACAGTTGATTCCTATTGATTTGCTGATAAATGGTTCGGTGGCCTCCCTGCGAACATGTCAGGGTAAGTGTCCAGGATAACCATACCCTGTTCGATACGATGATGTCTACGACTATACGCTTGGGAGACTTGAGCATGTGAAGAAATATGTAAAAGGCGAGAGACTAACCACGGTACTCAGTATCAACAGCAGGATTGCCACCTTGATGCCCTTCGTGTGATGTTGTAGACCAATGCACCCCAAAATGTAAGTACCCTAGCTCGATAAACATGAGACGGACGGATCCAAATACGATACTTACCAGTATAGAATTCCTGAACGTTCTAGACTTGAACGCATGACCATCATAACGAACTGAATCACGGTATCGGCGCTTCATGAGAGCCGCTGAAGATCTTGTGATATCCTTTCATGCCACGGCGCTTGATCGAGCTCTTTTTGTCATTAGAGCAGTGTGATGCTATGATGATGATGATTATCAGCTGCTGCTGCGCTGGACCGGCATTTGTTAACGTACATACCGTGAAAGTGTCATTTTGGATGAGACATGACTGTCATCGGCGTCCGCGGCTCTCCGCCGAAATCACTAATGATTGGGGCATTGAACCATTTAAGGAGAGAATGCGCCACAGAAACTGCGCCCATCACATCGTAGCAGATGTAGGTGATGGCCTCTGGCCCTAGTGCATTGACGCTGATCCGATCAATCGTTATCAGGGCGACACTCGACCGCTGGCTGGTACAGTGCTTTTTGCAGACAAGCAAGATAGAAATACATCGTAGAATTGATATGTCGTTCGCGCAAAGTTGATAGGTTTAGTAGCGCCAAGGTCAAACCGAGACAGATCTAAACGAGGAACTTCAAAGTCAACTTAGGCTGTTCATTGATAAGCCTGAAATCTCCGCAACCCAAGATTGGAACTTACCAACTGCCTATGCTTGTGTGGGGATTCTCGCTATCTCCGAAACACAGCAATTTCCCCTGGAATATAGCCCCCTATGGACGATGGAAGATAATCGTTCCTCGTCTGTTTGGCCTCCGTGATACGTATACGCCGCACTTCCGTCTGTATTCAATATAGTCGCCAACCTCGTGATAATAGATGCACATCAGCGCCCAGAATCGCACCGTGTGGGCAAAGAATCAATCGTTTCAGCAGAGCGGTAATCATGAAATCGATGAGGTGATGAAGTGTGGAAATTGACCCCGTCTCTGATCTAGACTTGGATTTCCTCCACAAACGTGTTCAAGTCATGTTTTCGAACCCCGACAAATGTTTGGACTACACGAAAACTGGAATTGTATTGCACAGGTCTCTCAATCGCTCAACGTTCAACCGCGTCCTTTCTAACAGGCACTGTCTAATTCCATGCACTCTCCAGTACAGCCATCACAGTTATTCGCCTCAGTGCGCTCCAAGTCTGATGAGGCTCCTGAGTACACATGTGAGTGAAGTTTCAAGTTCATCTCAGTCACCGCAGCCTACAGTCGGCCGTCGACCCCTGTTGCCATTCAGGATCTTGGTAACATATTACACTCTCGTTGCATCAAACTCACCCCCGACCGGCCCTGTCTCTCCACCATAGGATACGCATTCGCGGCTCGCACATCATCTCCTTACGTGCGCGCATACACGCTATTCATATTGTTGTCCTGGTGACTCATCAACTCGAGGATTGGTATTGACTACCATACAGTTTTTTTCTTCATGTCGTAGCAGCTAATTTTATCTAATTTATGTGTAAGTCCTGCACAGGAATCCAACATTGCGACACCCACGTTTAAACACAACCAGAACAACAGTCAGGCTTAGGTTCGAACTGCGACAGTATTAAAATCTGAATCTCTGAGCTTAGCCTACCAGCAGCAGAAGCTACTACTTCCCGGTCGCTTTTTTCTGATTGTCTAGGATTTCGTTCTATTTTTGTATTCTTGTTTATTGTCCGGTTGGTGCGGAGCCCTGCAAAATGTTCGGATGGGTCTATCATTTGGAACATGCGGTACATAGCGCGGGGAATCTCACATGGTTGGTGCTGCTTCGTTTTTTAACTGACTGCGGATTCTGGAAGTGTCACTTGGTTACTGATTTGCTGAAAGGTAGTTTTATGGGGATGTTTGTTCTTGTTCGGAGCGACTTGGGTAGCATGTTACCTGCTGATGCCTCGCCTCTTGCTGCCCTCTTTGCCTGTACGTCTGCCGCTTCATTTCCTGCTATCCCCTTGTGACCTGGCGTCCATCTGATGATTAGTTGCCTCCCGTCCTTGACAGGTAGCAGCTCCCTGAGGGCATTATGGAGTATAACATTAACGACCGGGAGGTAGTGACCGGGTTGGGAATGGAGGGCTCCTGTGCTCCTGATTGCCGCCTGATTGTCCACCCCCAACGCCATGGTGCCCCGTCCACCTGCCTCCTTCAGCAGCTGGACTGCTAAGACCATTCCCACTATTTCTGCCTCTAATGACGTGTGCTCTTCATGGCCTCCCAAGTAGAATCTTTTGTCTTTGATCATTGTCTCTCCTCTCATCAAAACTGCCGCCCCGCCCACTCCTCCGCCCACTACTGATCCATCCGAATAGACACGTAGTGTCTCACTTGCAGTTTTCTCTTCCCTGATCGCATCCGTCTTTTTCAGCGCTATGCTGATAGGTGTGCGGGATCCACTTGGGGTAGTGGTGGACTCGATTATTTCCGGGCTGAATCTGGACTCATTCATTGGCTTACATAGGGCGGAGAGGTGACGTTTGCAGCCCCGGAAGGCCCTCTTCTCGCAGAATCTGCATACCATCGTCAAGCCATTAGCCAGCGGGTGTGCAGTTGGGAATATTGTCATTATGAGTGTAACTTGGAAGCAGATTTTGCGACTGATTGCTCGATGATTAGACATCACCCTATATGCAATGTCGCGTTATCACAAGACCAATGACCGAGAAACATGTGAAAATAAGAAAAATGCTTGGCCCGCGATCGAAACCGAGAGTTAGTGCGATGCAATAAGTTGGACGACCCTCGTGAAGAATGTTAATGAAATATCAAGTCGACCATCGTGTCGCACCTAACAAACCAGAATCTGCAGTGGTGAGCTGTGTGACCAAACAAATAGCGCTGCAAAGTATCATAAACAGTCTAAATACTCGTTTACCTTTCTCTCACTTCTGTTACCAGTGAAACCAAAAAGCATCTCTCTTGCAGGTTTATGCCGCTATTACAATATTTGGGACAACAGACAAAGGTGAGTACTGAGTACTGAGGCCTACCACCGATTGAACATTGTATGGCTGCAGCTCGCTTGGTTTGGTATACTTTCCTCTGCGCATCACCCTGGAGACTATAAGTTCAACACGTCGACATGATGGTGTTAACATCCTCCAACTACGAACGAGGGATTGAGCGTCAGGAATTTTCGCTTTGAGCGCCTGGGAGAAGAACTCAAGTGCAGGCGCCGAGTAAGGAGGGTACCTTCCCTGCATGAAGCCCTCCGTTCTTCAAGGTACGTGCGATGTTAGTCAGGCAAGTTCGACATGGACAGTCTCGCACCCACCTTGCGTCTGCAGGGACATTGATATAGCCCCTTTGATGGGTGAAGGTGTCGAAGGAGTACTTCCCAAGGTATGATCCATCTGCAATAAATGAATGCTGAGCACTTCTCTCAGCGACACACGGAACGCAACATACAGCCAGATTGCCCTTGACCACCGAAAGGAATTTCATAGACAGCAACCTGAGCGAAAGTTTCATTGAGGATTAGCTGCCCGCTCTGGGTGCGCTGTACGACTTTGAAACACAGTTGATCAACATGCATCGCATACGTGGAAGGTGATCCTTACATTTGTTTTTTGTCTCCTCATTTTCCGTGAAGACGTAAATGACAAGGGGAGTGGACCTATAGGAGATGAGTGTTTTTTCTGATAGGCAGTCCTGAAAAGACTTACCCAGATTGTATGTGTGAGATGGCGGCGTCAACATTTGCAACTGGGATGATTGGCAAGATAGGTCCGAATATTTCTCTACGATCACGGTTTGAACAGTCAGTTAGATGGTGCTCGGAAGGGCACGAGCTCGACTGACTCTTCCATCAATGGGTCGTCCAATTTTACGCCGGTAACAATTGCTGGCTCAATGCGAAGATCCTGCCCAGCTTGTCCCCCAATCACGACCTTTCCTTTAGTTCGGGACAGGAGACTCTTGTTGCGTTCATAATGGCGAGCATTCAGCACGCAAGCCATCTCAGAAGAGGAGTCGAGCGGACCCTTTGGCCAGAATGAATCATATGCTTTCCTGAACGCCTCCACAAGTGCACTTTGGTATTGTTCCTGCACAAAAACGTGATTCGGTGCGACGCAAACCTGCCATGATGGTACAGTTATTCTGCTAATATCTGAGGTGACAGGGAAGACTTTACCTGTCCTGCGTTTTGTTGCTTTCCCCATAGAATCCTCTTCGCAGCGATCTCAATGTTCGTGCTGTCCCCGTCAACGAAGACGGGTGATTGTCCACCAAGCTCGAGAGTCACCGGCGTGAGTTGTTTTGCTGCCGCCTCTGCGATGATCCGTCCCACGCTCGTACTGCCCGTATAGAAAATGTGGTCCCATTTTAGACCGAGAACATGGGTGGTCTCTTCGACGGCTCCGAGACAGACAGCGTAGGCATCTGGGTCAAGGTATTGCGGGATTAGTTTCTCTATGAGGGCCGCAGAGGCCTGGGCATGCTCTGAAGGTTTGATCAAGCATGTGCAACCCGCAGCAATCGCGCCAATGAGCGGCAAAATCGTGAGCACCCATGGAAAGTTCCAGGGACTAGTAACGGTTGATTGTGAATATCCCGCCAAGACAACCTAAACAGATGGTAGCGACTTGCCTGATGCTAAGCACTGTTCCCTTGGGCGCCTTAAAGATGGTTGTGTCCCACCCACTGCGCCAAGCCTCTACTTGCGGCTTCTCGGGAGAATTCCACTTATCAAGATTCTCGACAGCATGAAGGGCGCTTGAAACCATTGGTCCTAGTTCAGGGAGGGTGGCCTCAAAAGGGTGCCTCCCGAGATCAGCTTTCAGGGAGGCCATGATATCATCGGCATTTTCTTGGACAAGGCGGGCAACCTGGAGAAGTTGCTTGCGGCGGTATTCCAACGGAAGAGTGCGGCCCTCACGGAAGGTCTTCGACAACCTGCTGTGAATCTATAAGGAGTATTAATATTTACCATGAACATCATGATGAACGGAGAACCTCGGTGATATGTTGCTTCGGGGTATACTTCAAGGAGGCCATGTTTACTCGAGTTGGAGGAATAGTGGCTCTGAGGACTTGGCGGGGAACTGGATAACGTGTACAAAGCTGTCAACATATTTAAGCACTCGGCGCAAACTACCATTATCACTGAAACAAGGGGGGTTCTACATTCGAGCGTAATTCCCATTACCGCATGTGTTCCTGTTTACCCATTAAAACCTAGCACCCAAACCTAATCTGGACGTTGATGGAAACCAACCACTGACGAGAGATGCCGCAATCAGTAACGGGGGGTTGTACCCATCATTGTCCAGTAGTATTCCGAATCATGCGGCAACATCGTTTGGAGGTGAGATTTTTGTCTGACATACAATTCTTGAAATCACTGCATGACGTAATTTATTGTGTTCTACAACGAGAATTTCGATATGCGAGAGACTAGGAATGAATCATTTTGTTGTTGATCCGTGTTGCCATCACTTGACAGACTAACCGGCAGATACACTTATACAGGCACTCGTAACATACAGAAATGATACGTCAACTGTTTAGAGACCAGACTAACGAAGTCACTGGATCGTTGTAGATGAGTAGTAGATGTTTCCCGGCCGTTGCTGGACTTCCATCGCGAACCATGACATTGAATGATCATATTCAACACTATCGTCATCCCCAAGACTCGAGCTGAACTCGAACAGACCAACAGTGAAAAATCGGAGAGATCGTTCTACCATTAATGCCCTGCCATTGTGCGGTGCGATGCAAGGGATGAAAGAGTACACACTCGAGAATTCCCCAAGGCCTCCTCCAAGACTGACGTGTATTACGGGTGATTGTGGCACAAGAGGTTGAAATATAAAGATCAGTCTTCATCACAACACAGGCGTCCTCGGTGTTCCATCGTGCCGCAGAGGCGACCGCGACCTTTCAGGAGACGCAAATGGCGGTGAAACAGGTGTGGTAAAAAACACCGGTCGTGGTTGCGTCTCTAGGCCACTCCCAGGAGCCGGAATCCCAGAAGGATAGACAAATAACGGTTGGGCCACATACGCTGGGTATAATGGCCCGGAGTATTGTGGGTTGCTAGTACTATCTGACGATGGAGCACCATCTGAAGAAGGTGATCTAGACCGCCCACCAGATAACTGTCTAGAGAACATGAGGTTTGCGGTGCTTGGGCTCATGACATACGGTCTTGGAGCTGGAGCAGGCGAGTTCTGAACATGATGTGGAATACGGCCTGAAGATAAAGGAGTCGATGGACCTGAAAGCAAGTCCAAGGTTCCCTTGTTTCGCGGGGTATACCAACTCTTTGACGATTTGGAGTACCGCTGACGGCTGTTCCTCCTCCGATTACCCTGCCCAGGAACATATTCACTTGAGATACGAGCTGGAGAAACCCATGGAAGGCCGCCAAGGTCTCGCACGAATCGCCGAATACGCGCCATTTGGGAGGCAATGGATTCCTCTGGTGGGGGGCGAATGGGAGATTCCATCTTTGCAAAATCCTCTGCAGGCCGAGGTTCCACAAGGACGGGAGTCGCAGTGGCTTGGGTCGAAAGATGAATGGTATGAGGAATGGAAATCGCTTCGACGGAGCGGTTGAAGGGATGGGCAGTGGAAATTGCGTCGGTAGAGTGGTGGAATGGATGAGAAGTATCGCGATGGAAATGAGCAGGAAAGATATCATCATGACTGTGCGAGCGACTAGGTTCGTACAGCTCGTTTACAGCTGACAGTGTCCGGTCACGCCTTGTATCCGCAATGGATGTGCGTGTATCAGTATCAAGCAAAATGTTTGGTCTTGTGGGAGATAACATGTCGGACGGAGGGGTGTCAACCCTCTCGACCTGGGGCACATTATTTGCTAGCACTTGTCGGTGTACGAGTGAGATTCCTGGAGCTCGAGGATTCTGATGGTACGAGGATGTGCCCCCCTGCTTCGCTGGCTTAGCATGGTCCTTTGAATTCAAACGCCCTCTCGACATGACTCTCGGTATACTTTTCAACCCGTTCATGATTCCACCGTAAAACGTCTTCTTCCCCTGAGGCTTCCTTTCATGTCCCTCCGAAGATCCATATCCATTCTCCTCATCGGCACCTGTGACTTCGATGCCAACAGTCATATACTCCTCAGTGTCTGATAGAGTGGCCTGCGCCGTATGAGGCGCTGGGCGCATAACAGGAGTGGAATGCCAGTTATGAATTTGAGGGGTTTGAGGGGTTTGGGTTGCAGGGTACTGGGATGGCTGAGAGGCCGAAATCCAAGTAACATCTCGCACGCGCGATGCATGGCTTGCCCTGGAATATCTATCCCTGGGCACTGGCTCCCCAAGGAAATCCCGGGTAGTACTGGGGGAACGTGAGAAGCTTGTGTCAATGCGGATATCTCCCAGTCGAGGTTGCCCATAGTCGAGGTCAGACATTGCAATAGACAGCCGGAGTGAATGGCGCAACTAGCGGAAGTGGAATATGAAGAGGCGCATAGAAGGCGACATGAGTCCTTATATAAGTGTGGTCGGCGTAGAACTGTACTAGGAGTGAACGTCACGTTGTGACACGAGGCTCCTGCGAGATCTGAGATTAAACAGACCGTGCCACTCAGAGCACTGAAATGCATGCTCAGTCTTGCCTTCCATCACAGCCCGAGCACGCATTTCTCGCATGGTATTAGATTGATGGCAAGAGGAATAACTGCGACAAAAGTAGTCAGAAGACAGCAAAAATCCACTTTTTAGCATTTGGATTGCAGTCATGTAGGCTGCAGCTTACGGTATTTGACAGGGGCTTTTCTTGTATCATGCTGACACCATTGGGGCCGGTGGAAAGCGACGATTAACAGGGCAATGATATAACCGGCGGGGGCAATGCTTTGAGGTGCGTGCCAGTGCCTCTCCCCACGAATCAGTTTGACGGTAGCATAGCCGACACCGGTGCAGGACAGCCGTAATAATCAGAGTCTTCTGCCCATTAAATCCGGGATGGAGAAAATGTATGCCGCGAATAGCTGTGGGTGTGACCGACCCGGAGCCTGAGGACAAAGCCTACACAAGTTTCGTGAACTTGCGGCTTCAGCACCAAAATTGCCAAGCAGGAACTGGCGGGTCGCTGACCTCATGTATCCTCAGTGCACTAGGTGGAACCTTAGCACAAGTTTATGAGTAACTGTGATGCGCTTGAAGCGCTTCAACTCTTGTCAGTCAACGGCAGGGAATGTGATCACGTGCACACCTGACGGAGCTTGAACGCTCTGGATCTCTCGGAGAAGGGAGTAACAACTCTAGAACTCGAGACGTCTTCATGTTTCTAGAGACCATCCCAAATTCTGACACTCTCGCAGATAAAATGACAGACTCTTGCATTCTCATCTTCTGAACACCGGTCAGGCAAGAGTGCATGGTTGATGGCAGACTCTACCGTGGTCCGTCCCTCATCTTGTAACCATAAATCGGCCAGCTCCTTGAATGCAATCCAAAATGGAGTACTGCTTGCTGTAGTGCGCCTCCTAACGAAAGCCCCTACTACCCAAAGACAGCCTGAAAGCTTCCTGGCTCTGTTGCAGACGAATGACGTGGCCGAGCGACTCAAGGTCAGTCAAGTCAAGTAGCAGTCGATGGCGGCAGGCTTGTTACTGACGCTCGAGGAAAATGCGGTTCTAACAGATCTAGATGAACTAAACGTCAAGCATCCAGTAATCCTAGGGCAGGCATTTCAAGAGCGAATCCGTCCAGTGCACTTCAAGCAGTCATCAAGCGAAAAATTACGTCAAAAGTTTTTTCTGGTACCTTTCAGTACTTCTTTCAGATTTATTCTTGTGCCTTTGGCGCGCTCCTTTTCACCGTGCGTTCGTGCTTTATTCTGTCTCGGATTCACCTTTTTGTCAGTGTCACTGATACGCCGCTTGGACTCATACTTATCATATTTTGACATGCTTGTAATCTAGTCGTCTGGTTCCAATGCAATGACTTGGCATTATTTGCCTGCTGGTACTCAGTGTAGGGCTTCATAAGTGAGTCGTGGTTGAATAAAAATCGTAAACATGTGTAATCAAAGCATTTAAGCAAGGCTGCTAGTGCCTGCGGTTGCTTCACGCCCGGGCTAGTTGTGATCTCCACCATATTTTCACACCTACTCCACGGAGCCCACTATGTTTATTTTCATCTAGATGCACCCTGTGGCTAAGTTAAGAGCATCCTTGTTTCGTGACTCTTATCCGAGTATTTGCTGATTAAACTAAGAGCACGCGCTTCATAACTATGATGGAGCACATACACCCGATACGTCCGACTGTGTGTACACCAATCTGGGGAAGGCCCCCATGTGTATAAGTACATTCACATTTGACTCTTAAAACCTTCAGGACGATCAACCTGAAGAAACAATTCCGAGTTAAGTTCTAGTGTCTCTATCTTAGCACTAACACACCTCAGCTTGTCTAGGTCTCGAACAGCCTTGACTAGTTGCGAAGTCGGCGGAACCGTAGCCCACTAGACGCGGCAGTCGTGCTCTCGCCGGAAACCCCATCCTTGATTCCAATACGTTTCAAAACCAAGTAATATGACGAGTTACATATTTTCGTGTAGGTCCTATTATTCCCATTCAGGCTAGCAATGCCAATACTCACTTGGTCTCATCTCCGAAGAATTCTGATTCTGCTAGCATAGATACGAACACGGAGTCATGGTGGACTAATTTGAGGTTCGACTCGCACTAGTAGGTGTGAGTATGCCTGCAAAGCGAATGTTTTGGTTGTATGATTGCGCCTCTACTTTGATTCTCGTGTATCATGGATCTAAAACCAAGATTGATATCAGATCTCCACTCAGTTATTGAGCTTTGATTAACTTTGCTAGTACTAGTATAATACTCCCCCTCCGGTCGGCATGTAAGAAGGTGCCGAATGTGATAAATAAAAACACACGCAGCTGTACACAGCAACCTCGGACATAGTAATGGCCGCGACATAGTTGCATAACTCTGCGCGCATCAATATCGTGCCCAACATTGCACAATGGTTGCCTTTCGATCATCAAAGGGGATTACTTAAGTGTCCTTCAGGGCCGCGTATCTAATAATTTAGAGTTTGCAACTTTGCACGCTTATGTAATAATACGTACACAGCTCGAAATTGAACGCCACCTCGTCGTTCGAAGTTTCTTAACTTAATTTGTACAAGTAGCTGTTCGTTACATTGTACAGCAACATTTTGCATCATGCCATACATGGGGCACCGTAACATTTGCCGGCATCAGTACGTAAATTCATCAATTCTGATCAAATAATTTTTGACAGAACACCCGCGCGCGGTGGCCAAGTTACTCCAGTTGACTTACCAACTCAGTCGAGATGATCTAGCGGCTTCCTCGGGTGCAAGAATATTACTACTTTGCATTATTCAAGACAGTTTCCGGAAGGAACCCGGTATATAAAGGTATGGGGACTTTCTCTTTCCTACAACCCCCTTCACAAAAATGGCCATTCGAACACTTGTAAGTGGCTGATATCGATTCTTCTGCTACAGTGAATTTGGCTGAGATACTAGCTAGCCAACTTCAACTCAAATACTCGTTGTCGGCGGCGGACCCGCCGGAAGCTACGCTGCTGCTGCTTTAGCTCGAGAAGGCTTTGAAGTCACTCTTCTCGAAGCTGCCAAGTTCCCTCGGTCAGCACGTATTATACATGGCATCGGTATACGGAGTCACTAATACATAGTTGTACCAGTTATCATATTGGCGAGAGCTTGCTCCCGTCGATCCGCCCCTTCTTAGCATTTATTGATGCGGAAGAAACCATCAAGAATTACGGATTTACAGTCAAGGTTTGGATAATCCTCAATGCGCCCGGGTACATTATTTTGAGACGTTCACCCTCTTATAGCCTGGTGCTGCAGTCAAGCTGAACCAGTACAAACGAGAAGGATGTGAGCCACAGTCACTCTCGTTCATCGTTCACCATCATACTAATGTTGATCGTCCATTCCAGATACAGATTTCATTGCGCTGAACCCAGACAATGGGTCTTGGAACGTGGTATGTAATATATTGAAGATATGCTTACCGTCTGATCATTTTGCAGATTCGGTCGGAGTTTGACGATTTGCTATTCCGTCATGCTTCGAAGAGTGGCGCAAATGTGTTCGACAACATAAGAGTCACTGAATTTCAGTTTGAGGGCGAAAGACCTGTTTCAGCCAATTGGAAGGATGCCAGCACTGGAACCGAGGGCCATATCTCTTTCAGCTACCTAGTCGATGCATCAGGAAAGAACGGGGTCATGTCCACAAAGTATCTCAAGAACAGACGTTATAATCAGGCTCTCAACAATGTCGCTTGTTGGGGATACTGGGATGGAGCCGGGTCTTACATGCCGGGTACCACTCGCCAGAATGCTATCTTTGTTGAAGCACTTGAAGGTATGAAAACAATCCAAAGGGTTTATATAATAAGCTCATTGTCTGCAGACGAGTCTGGATGGGCTTGGTTCATTCCCCTTCACGATGGATCCACGTCTGTGGGAGTTGTGATGGATCAAGAGTCAAGCAGTCGCAAGAAGAAGGTTTCCCGTGCGGCCTCAGGAGGATCCGGCTCAAATCTTCTGGCTCATTACAAGCAAGAGCTTTTAAGCAATGCTCCTGGAGTCCTTAAGTTGATGGGAGATGCCACCCTTCGAAACGATGGTACACCGATGGCTGTGAAATCTGCAGGCGATTTTAGCTACTCGGCCCCCTCTTATGCTGGGGATCATTACCGACTGGCTGGGGATGCTGGAGGTAATTTTCTTGACATGTTGTGGCACTCGTGACTGACAATCAATAAGCGTTCATCGATCCATTCTTCTCCTCTGGCGTCCATTTGGCTTTCACAGGTGGACTTTCGGCTGCTCTCACGATCTCTGCGTCGATTCGAGGACTCTGCAGCGAAGAAGATGCCCAGCGTTGGCACACCTCAAAGATCGCCACCTCTTACACGAGGCATGCAAATTCGGTTATTGGAGTGATAGTAACTAACCTCTAATGTAATGTATGCCACAGGTTCCTTCTTGTCGTCCTGGGCACCTACAAACAGATCAAAAATCAATCTATGCCGGTGATGAGTGATGTGGATGAGGACAATTTTGACAGAGCCTTTGATCTCATCAGGCCAGGTGAGGATCGATGGCTTTTCTATCACTACAAAATCTGATACTCGAGTGCAGTGATACAAGGAACAGCAGATGTCGGTAAGGCCTTGACAGAAGACGAACTCCAGGTGCGTACTATGTTCTGCGACTATCTTCCATGATATCCTGATTCCGATCAACAGAAAACCATGGACTTTTGTAGTCATCTATTCGCACCAACCGATCCCGAGATGCATTCTTCAGTCAAAGCTAGGTGAGGGTCTATCGTTTGCTCAACTTTATTATCTCATACTAAATTTTGAATAGACTGGATCCTTCTCTAACATCCCCAGACGCACCCATCATGACAGAAAGCGACATCGATCGCGTGCTTGGAGATGCTGATGAGGAAGCCAAGATCGTTTTGAGCGAGATCAACGCGCGGAAGCCCATTCATACAATGTACAACCCCACGGAGAATTTCGGTGAGGAGGAACACTTTGGTTTCAAAGCTGTCTTACAGCGAGGTAAACTGGGTTTGGTGACTAGCCAGACGGAGTTGTGATAGACACATCGCTCACTCGACCACGATGACTGTAGAATTCATCTATGTAAACAATGTGTATTAGCTGATAGTAGAACTTGTACTATACTAGAACTTGTAGAACTTCATATTGCAGGCTCTCAGGGCAACAAAAGTTGCTGTATGAAATTCAACTTCATGCCGAGTCCACTCAGAATTTAGCAAAAAATTGTATATGCCGCCTGCGACCCTGACTCAGACGATGTCCCTGGAAACTAGGTACATTCAAGCCAAGATAAGATCCATCAGATTGAATGAAAGCACAGCTGGGTTATTATTGTCTTCCATGCCGCGCCACGCCACTGTGAGGCTCACTTCGATGGCACGTAATCGATTAATCCATAATATCTAGATCTCGTAACTGGGTAGCGGACAACACGGATCGTGCATGATAGCATTGGCTCAATGATTGATTATTCTGAACACGCAAAGATGCGCAGAAACCAGGCAACCACGCAAACCGACATGCAAGGATCTGTATCAGGGCCTAGGAGAGTTGTCCATGTCAGCTCTGAAAATACTTAGATTTGATATTGCTGGCCGGTCCAGGCTAGCTACGTTTTAATTTTTGATAACGCGCCACTCGATAAGACGACTCGGTGTTAATGTCTAGCACGAGATACCGCCGGGATCGGGTGCAATTGCGGCCATCATCATGCTGTTACTGGGCGTTCACCGCGGCCCCGCATCGTCAAGTCCGACTTCTCAATACGTTTGAAAGTCACGCATCAATTTTTCGTTCCATCCAAACCGTTCATCGTGGACAGATAATTTCCACACAGATCTGCGTATCAAACTACATTCAATGGCTGTCAGGGTTTGGCGTTGGCGCGGACCGTTCTTGAGGCTTGACCTACGAAAGGATCCAACGGGTTTGCTCACAGTCTTGTACACAGCGTTGTCGAGGGTCAGAACGCGAAGAGACACGCTGTGTCTATTTGCGGAGGCGAACGAAGGACAAGACTGTGGAAACATTGTATTCAGTGACTTTCTACTGTAGACACTGTTGATCGGAAAACAGACGACCGAAGGCGTGTCCTTGTACATTTTATGGCAGATAACGAGTTGTCAATATAAGGTCATCTCAACTCTCGTCTGTACGGATAGCGCGACACTCCATGATAGACACGTAAGCCCTAAGCTTGTACACCCCTGTGATGACAAGGCCAGCCCGGGAAATTATAGTTCGCCACTGATCCTGAAAGAACGGTGAGCAAAGTTCATGCCAAGACGGGGCAGGCGTACCATTGTCCTTTCGTGGCAATTCAAAATACACAAGAGATGTAAGGCGAGTGCCTGTGGCATGCGAGATGAGGAGTTGAGAATGGTTTGTTCGGTTATGAGGGAAGTAGAAGCTGTGTTATTCATTGTGTTTGCTGGTCTATGCTCAAGCTCGACATGAGTATCGGGATAGTGCCCAGAGATTCTCTCGATGATCAGGATCTTGGACTGGAAAGATATTTAACGTGCTCTCGGAACTACAAAGTGATGTCGAGAACGAACCTTTGGCCCAGCAGCAGCAGCAAGTTTCTCTAGGATGTTCACCTGGAAACGTCAACTAAGATTTGATGTCGATGGTAAAAAAGACTTACAGCTTGAGCCTCGGGCCAGTTGTGCCTATGAAAGAACGTCAGTGGATAATAAAGGATCACGAAGGTGTAGCGCACAGAACATGTCGTAACATGAAGGTATAATTATCCCCAGTGCGTGGTTGAGCAGAGAACAAGTCGTGGGCTTCAGCAACTACTGTGCCATGAACTGAGTTGGGATCCAAACGGGTCTTGATGTTAGCTTCAGCAGGCCCGACCATCTCCCCCCTTTCCTGGATCACAAGACGGAGGGCAGGGAATCTTGATACTATGTTTCAGTTGCGTTGCTTCTTAACAATTTGTTCACTGACCTATTAGCGAGGGCGATAGCTAGGCTTCCTTTACCTCCCCCACAATCAACAATAGTTGATTCTGAGCACGTTTGCCATGGGTAGTCCGATAATATTCCTGGGGTCACATATTCGCCGAGTGCCTGAGAATTATAAGTATAGCATTGCCAGTTATAGGCGGACGATGCAAACCTCAACACACGCTGAAAATCGACTGAGATAATTCCTATCATCTTTCACCCATTCGAAGAATGGCTTTGTAGTATTGTTCGCAAGTTGAAATGCGGTGTGATCTGGAGACTTGGAGAACCTGAATTCGGGATGCACAAGCCATCGAGGAAGAGCCTCTGCGACCCTGATGTTGTTGGGAACCCTACAACAAGATTAATCGTGGAAAACCGGCATGCAAAATAATCCTACGTTATCAATGCACGACCCCTTTGGCCTTGTAGTAAAATGCGAGAAGAGCGATTCAAGGCAAAAATACCACCCTGAGTCTCTCGAATCCAACCACAAACTGACAGATGGCGTAATACCGTGGTGAGCTTATGGGAGTCGAGGTCCAGTTCTGCTTGGAGAGTTTTGACAGAGATGCCAGACGGCTCTTTCGCCATGCGGTCCACGATGCCATGTTCAGTAAAGACTTGAACAGAAGCAAAATCATACATGGCAAAGGCGCTCTCAGCGGCTTTCTCAAAGGGATGTTGCAGAAGATTCTTGAGCTCTACCTGAATGAATAAATTGGTACATTTCACAGCAGGAGGATGCCGAATTTGAACTCACAACACATGCTAGAAGGGTAGAATTAGTATGTGGGTTAATCCTGTTACATTCGAACATACCTAGCGCTGCTCGACGGGCTTGGTATACACCAACTGGTGTGGGCTGGTCCATGCTATCCAAAGGGTGTATGTCGGTTCCATACTGTGAGGACAAAGGCGGCAACCTCGACCCGTCCATCGCGACGCGTAAACTGTTTAGCGCATTGTTTATGGAGGCTTGGAGGTTGTCCAATTCAAGGTGGCTCATCGCGGTCAGTAGCTCCGAGTCAGCGCTCGACTGTCACGGTGAAACTGTTAAAGATATATATATATTGATATACACCGCCCTGACAGAGGTTGGGCTAGAAACTGTAGCTTATACACTCACGGCAAACCTTTGTCGGTTCAAATCTCGACCGACCCATGATTAAAATATCATGGGCGCATCAAGCTCGTATCATGATTCATGATGGCTTCTGCACAGTGGGAAGAAATTGGGGTTTAATAGAAACGCCGACTGCTTAGGGTTCATGTTATTTCAAGTTAGGGTTAAGCTGCTTACATAAATACTTATGTACTATTCACAGCCTCGGGGATCTGACTTTCAGATCTTACACAAGTGAGTCTTCGGCGGGGTGTCCCATACGGCATCGGCACCACACTATTCTGTAGCGAACTTCAGAACCAGCTGAGCTCTTTGTTTCAAATGCGACAAATCCGCCGGTGAGTCAAAGATTAGTACTAACAGTAGGCCCATCAAGTTACTGCGGGCATTGTCTCTAGGCCTATCAGAAGTTCCTTCAATTAATGTAGGTAAATGCGACGCCCTCTACAATTTATTATGTATACTCATGAGTCATCGAACCGCAGAAAACAGCTCGCGAAGCTCCAAAGGCGTGGCATGAGTCACCGGCACTGATCATGATGATGTTGTGTTTTCTTCTCGCTTCTGAACCCTTGTCCTCTGGTGCCTCGGGTTGCCAACTCACATAAATCGCTCATGATTCATTACTCAAGAATCAGTACTAACTGATAAATCATAGAGTGGTTACCTAGTCAATAAACCTGCTCGATAGGTGACGAGGATGTGCCGGTTTACACTGTTGGACTTTAACCTCATTAGTCGCATCCTTAATAATGAATACTTTCGTCGGCGCATTTTTTCTTGACTCCTTGGTTATTGTCCGTTGGGGCGGTGCCCTATGGGGGACATTACATGCCTATGTAATACTGGATCGTATTCTGATTGCTGCTTCTATCCGTTTCTATAGTAATGATTCCGGCCGGAGCGAGCCTGAGGATGATGGGTGCCTGCTGAAGGCCATCTGCGTGCGATTAGCGAGGGTGGGGCCAACCTGCTGATGCTGGGTTGACATTGCCGAAAATGGGTTTGAGTCGTCTGGTCTTGGCGACGTACGTGAGAAGCTTTCTGGCTGCCTTTTGCTTTTGTCGTTGAGCAAACTCTTGATGTCGCGGGCTCTCATGGCGCATGGTCTTTCAATGATGCCTCTAACCATGATCTTATCTTATACAACATCATTCTACTACGTGTTAATAATATATACAAAATGGCCTGCTGTTCAGAGCGAGACCTCAAGCCGGTTTCTGAGCTACGAAGGTGTAGAAGACAACCTTGGACTGAGCGTTGCTCTCCCATTCCCTTTCTAAATCTTCCATCAACTTTGTATATTCTCCCTCTGTTCGAATTCCCATCTTCACTACCGGGGCTTGCATTCCCTTGTAGGCACCAATAAAACTCTCCCGAGCTTTAGCTTTCATACCGTCTTCGTCTTCCCCACCCCCAAAGCTAATTTCAAGACTCTGTGCCGTGATTTTGTCAAACCCAGCGCTTTTGAGGACATTCGGAATATGCTCAATGCAGTTGAGTAATAGACCTCTTTTGACGAAGAGATCCTGAAGCATCGAGAAGTGCCTTTGCGTTACCTCTCCAGCTGAGCAATGACTAGCTTCGAGGAGCTGCACCCAGCCTCCCGGAGCAAGGACGCGGAAGATTTCATCCACAGCTGTGTTCCACATCTCTTTGGATAACGCTGCGATAAGGAGTCGCTGGTTTACTAGCTGGAAATTGCTGGTCCAATCGTTCGGTAGCTGTAAGATGTTCCCCGGTCCCAAATGTATACGTTGCTTTTGTATATCATCGAGCTCTGGAAAAATGTTCGTCTTCAAATCGATCCCATGGAAGGTAACATCCTTATTGGCGTTATAGCAGTCAAGGAGCCAGGTTGCTGTCGTATGAGTGACCAACGGTCAGATCAAGCAACAGAATGGCTGATGAGCACCAACCTGAGCCAACTCCGCTGTCGAGTACCTTGTCTCCTGCGTGCAGCTCAATAGGAGCGAAGACAACACGGCCCCTGAATCCGTGTCGAAGGACTTCGTATTGAACTGCCAGTCTGTTATGCACAGAGTTGTCAATCTTCGTTCAAGTCGAGCTATAATCTAACCTTTTGCTCTCCTGTTCATCGGTTGGAAGTACATATAGAGATTTTTCAATTGCTTGTGCCAAGTCATCACCGTGTAGTTTAGACTGAAAAGAGGTTTCTGAAGACTATTGCATGTAATCGTGAGCTCGAAATCTTTGGAGTTGGCAAAGGAACTTACACGGGACATAATGCTGGAATGAACTTAGGGTTGGAATAATTCAAGTTGCGTCACCTTTTAAACACTTGCATGTACTATACTTACCTTTGCAAGAATCATTGATCAAAGTCCCGTGTATACTAGTAACATCGTCACCAGTTTATCGTCATCTTTCGTGTGGGAGTTAACGGGCAAATAATACACCGCCGCTGTTTCATCGGATCTGCGGATCAGCTGTTCCAGAACTTCTGGTCTGGGGAATGCGCGATGAAACTCAGCCACAATTCCTACATATGCCAGGGTCGATCATTAGTACACGTCATATCTGCGAATCTTGTCAGTGCATCAAGTACGCCCCCACACCTAATAATAGTGTACTGCCAATTTTATGTTGCCGCAAGTACGTTAAGATTTTTCTCCACCGAAGTGACCATGAGCGTTTGAGTTTCGGGTTTAGATCTGTGAAATATGCATATCTTCAGGCTATTCCTAATCAGCATGAGAGAGCCTTGAGGATAAGAACAATTGCTCCCACATGCAAAGTTTCTTGAGGAATCGCCGAAAATGCGCCTGCTTTACTGGGCTCGGCTGCGCCACATATCAATTCCAAGCCGAGGCAACCTGATCTAGCTGACCTCTGAATCTCCACACTAGCACTGGTAGGCAAAGATTAAGAAGGTGGTGCCGGGTGTTATTTTGTTACCGTCTGAAATGAGGGTCTGCCCTGAGTAAACTCGTGCTTTGCCTTTTTAGGATCACTCACTCCAGCAATATCCGCTGACATAATCTTACCGTCGCAGGCTCCCATCGTCCAGCGCCATTCGATACCCTGTGCTCATGGATTTATCTTGTACTTTCGCACACTTACATTTTTTTCTACAGGCACTGCAGGTTTGTACGCAGTGTAATGAACCGAATCTCGAAGCTCGACTCAGGACGCTAGCGCCCGCCACAGGGACCAGCGATGCTTCCTTATGTTCCAACGTACGACGGACAATGGGCATTCAATACGGAAGTTCATTCTCCAACCCTACCTTCTGTATTCGAACGCATCTCTCGATCATGTCAGGGCCCTTTCCATTGCAATAGATTGCCTGAAAGTCCAGAACGACGACGGACTCTTGGCATATGAAGAGGCTTCGATTCGCGAAGCCGGACGTGAGCATGAAGATGAATCTTTTCAAGTCAAAACCCATGGTCTTGATGAAGGCCTGATCGTTCTGGCTGGCCACGGAGTACTTATCCGTGAATTTGGAAGGAGCTGCGCGCGACAAAAGTATGGTCATCATGGTTGACATCTATCGATGTGTTCTTGTCGGATCAGCTCGGTTCTCACCAGTACAGCATCCGCAACAATATTGACGAGTGCAGATTCTTCTTCGTCGATTATTTCATCTATATCTCGTTTTGCAGCGCTTGGTATTATCAGTACGTAACGTGATGGCATCGATGGTCCCCATTGTTTTGCCTACGAGAAGTTGAGAACCGAGATCAATTGTAATTTTGATGAACGCAGCCCCCCACTAGTAATGATAGCAGTGCACTGCGTGGATAACCAAAAGTCAAACCAAATGTGGCGGTGTGGGAAAGTGTCGACACTGACTCTGCCACAAAGCTATGCCGGCCGGCTGCTTTGCGGCAATTTGAACAGCTTTTACTAAGATCGATCTTTGTCTGGCGATGGATTTAGCTTGCCAAGAATGTGCATCTACTGGGGAATGGACGTCTGGACCGTGAACAGTGATGCCCAGTCAATATTTAAGAGGGTTAAGATTGCGGGTTCCCTGCGTTAACATTAAGCCCCAGTAGGCATCCAACACCTTCAAGTTCAATCGTTATTCAGCCAACGTCCTCCAGCAAAACTAGTTTCCAGTTTACCCTGAAACTGGGTTTTGGATCAGGTGCAAGAGTGAATGCCTACCCCGTCGGAGAATCACATCAGACCGTTCGTTTCCGGGACCCTCATGCTGCTCAAACCATCAGGCTTTCAGGGCGCGACGTTCCCCGGTATCCACCAGCACTGCGGACGTGTCATCAAGTACACTCATCCAAGAGCCGATGAGTTGACAAACTGTACTTTTATCGGGGTATCTAAAAATATCTAACAACAATCTGCAGGAGTTTAACGTTTAGGGGCAGGTCAGTCTTGCATAGCGGTATTTCCACTCTCAAGTACTCACCTAGGAAACACGCACTGACCTGCATATTATTTGTCATGCATCATCTGCGTGTCCGCTCTCCCATACGTAGCAATCATGACAGACCTGGCGAAAGAGTGTCTTATAAAATCTCGGCCAAGGCTCGTTGCTAGACATCAAAGATAAGTACGTTGAAAGCGGGGATTGACTTTGTCGATTCCACGCTATTCTACGATTGATGGGCGTAACGCTTCGAGCGGCACAACCGGCTGCTTTGGAACATTCAGTCACATAGATGTGGGTACCGTCCCGACTCATGAGCAAGATCTTGATCTGCTTTCTGCTGCGGGGTGAGATTGCTTTCTCTATACAGACACTTATCAGCGGCTCGATGACGTGCTTGCCGAAGTGAGCTAAGATTTTACCGACAAGAAAGTTGTTGTCATCTTGTCAAGGTTGAAATTTGCGCAGTAGTTTACGAACTCCAAGGCAAGATCGCGGAAGAGATCGTAGAAGGCTGCTAAAAAGTAGGGTTCGCACCACTTCATCAATTCTGGAAAGTCAGAACCCCATGCTGTATTATCTGACACGTTACAAAACAGCTATAATTGTTGCTTTGATGTAGACTGGTCATCACTCACAACTCAGCATCATATGACGTTACGGAGACTTGGTCGAGAAGGCTTTATTGCTCAAATCTTGAAACAACATACAGGCGCCAGCATGAACAAAGACAAACTTTGCCATGATGGGGTGTAGTTGGCCAAAAACGAAAGCCATCGAACAGGAGGAAGATCTGAAACTCAAACACCGCCATCACATCCAGCAGTTATGTGACGGGAACAGATTCAACAGAACGCACCTTACAGTGCTGCACGACTCACCAATCTGCGAGCTGAATGACTTTTCGTCTACCACTGATGGAAGAGCAGGCAAATGTAGATCACATACGTGTGGTCAATGTGGATCGGACGGACAAGATACAGAGATAGAGTATTTACTCGGCGGTCATACTGCATCTGACGTCCGAGTCTGGTCCAAGGTGCGTTCGATTCATTTTGAAGTTTCATGATTCAAAGTCCAGGAATATCGCAGGTAGCCTGTGTAAGCCATTCACCATGACCATAACTGCCGGCGCGGCGGTTCTTGCGAGTGCCTGTACAACCTTGTAACATTAACGTTGAGTTGGACGGTTGATTTAGCCAACGAAGCTGTTCTTCGACCCGGCTACTCGGCAATCGATTGAAGCCACGAACCGGGACTCCCCGACACAGCGGCAACCAGTCACGGTTTATCACCGTACGGTATCTCCTCGCATGTTATGGAAGGAGCACCAGCCAAGTCACAGTTGGATCTTTGTCATCTCACGGTTGGATCATGTTGACCAGTCGCGGTCGTCTGCTCACAAACCATCCGACTCCAAATGATTATGCGGCACTGCCACAACGTTTGCTTGAAAGCAACTAGTAGGCTTAGTCACCGAGCCCCGCACCGCCGTCAACACTAAGCGGAACCGGACACTTCATCATGCGGGAGTAACGTCTTCACCGACATGTATATAACTGTGGTACGCGAAGCATACCAATGCAACCTCGGTACCACAAGGACTTCCTCCGCTATCTTCAATGACTATGGCATCTGGTTCAAGTAGCACTCTACATCCAGTCGGAGGCCTTCAACGCGGCAAAGCGTGCATTGCATGCAGACGTCGAAAAGTTGTCCGTAGATGCAATCTGTGTTATCTGAAACTTGCTCACTTGTCTTACTAGAGGTGCGATGGTGCCCGACCGACGTGTGGTCAATGCGTCCGTGGTAACAGGTTCGCCGACTGTGAATACACGGATGGCCAGGGCCGATCTCGGACACACATGCTGGAACAAGAAAATGCACGTCTTCAAGCTCGAGTACAAGAACTCGAGCATCCCGAGCACACTACGCCTGCAATTGCGCTACACGATCCTTACTCATCGTTCGACGTCCCGCAAGGCTATTCTGTCCCATTTGGTTTCCAGCCTTCCCATATCTCTGCACCAAGTCCTGGAGCGTGTAAGTATTTACAAGCACATAACCACACTGTCTCATCGTTTTATAGCGTCGAGTTCTAGTGCTCAAAGCACATGGGGTGATTTCAGTCCGGGCGGCTGGTGGGTTCAAGAAGAGCCTCCAATACAAATTGTACTAGAATCGTAAGCTAGTAATCCTATATGTTTGTCCATATGGTCCACTAACTGTGATTTTTCAAACAGTTTGGACAAGATCTTACCTTACGTGGACGAACTTGGGCTTTTCCTCCATATCCCGCGCATGCGCAACAGGCTTGTGACCGCTTCTTCCCGCGGTATTCCGATTGCGTTACAAAACGCCATTATTCTATTATGTCTCCACATCACGAATACGAAGCAATCCACCTTCGAGCTGACAGTGCTATCAAGATGTTTGCGTCAACTGGCTGAGATCATCCCTTCTTGCAGCGCGAGTATTCGAGATTTGCTGGATGTCCTACAAACAGAAGTCCTCCTTACATACTACCTGTTGCGGGTCGGACGAACTGTCGAGGCGAAGTACCACTCAGGCGCGGCGGCCAGTCTTGTTCTGGCATTCCGACTTCATTCTTCTTCTGAAGGCGAGCAAAATACACCTGCAGATATGCAGTCTGTGGCATTCGATATATTCGGGACCACCCTTCCAAATCTAGTCGACGATATAGAGCAAACAGAAGCCATACATGCATTCTGGAACGTCTTCACTTGGGATAAGAGTGTGTCCGCCGTGCTGGGAGTTCCGCCTAGCATCGATAGATCTATTAGGGTATCTGTCCCTTGGCCTCGAAAAATGCGGGAGGTTGACTCTTTCGATCAAGATATCCACCTCACAAGCCGTGGGCAGGAAATCGGACTGCAAGTGGACACCGTACAACAGTTCCTTGTTGATGGACAGAGTGAAAAGGGAGACTTTGACTCTGCACTTGCCTTTCACGCAAAAGCAGCTGTGCTCCTTGACGAGGTGAATAATTTAGTTGAACAACACATATCAGGTCGGTATAGTCGGCACCCAATTTTCTTCTTCTAACATCATTTCATTTCAGATTCACGTTTCCAAGAAACACATTCATTCCGAGCACAATTTGCGTCACTCGACGCACTCATACAACACCTACAAGCATCCATTGTGTCTAATCCATCCTTGACAACTGAGGCGTCACCATCGTCCTCGCGATTGAGTCTTACTCCTTCGCTACCTCATCTTGCTTATCCCCGTTCACTTTGCATACAATCCCTTCTATCTCTCGCTACCATCCGGTTGCACAGCCCCTTCCGTGAATCCTATACCTTATCGAATGCCAAAATCGTCACCGCGGCAGTGCTCATAGCGCGTGCCCTACAGTGCGTGAACGTAAATACACTGCAGTATTTTGATCCTGTCCTCGTAAGTTATGATTGCAGAGCTTTTGATATCTAATTCTTGACAGTTTGTACTTGCCAGATAATATGGACGAAAGCTTCCTTCGTGATTCATGCAGAAATCACACGTTTACGTGCTATAAAGGCCTGGCCAACTCAATTCCCCGTACGCGGCGAAGGACTTATGCAGGCCCTAAGGACGATGTTGGGTGTATTAAGAGACATTGCAGACCATTGTCCTGTACTCGGTACGTCTTTGTTTTCTTCTTGGAGACAAGACATGTCGTTAATGGTACGTCATCATAACAGCAGTGCGGACAAGATTAGAAACTGTATTAACCCTTCTCGACTCTGGTACTCAGTGATTCAATTTTCCGATACTTTTGCTAGTATGGCGCTGGATCTGTTCAACTATTCTTCACACACAAAACTCACACACACGCACAGACGCGACACACACACAAACGAGACGCACACACATAATCATTCCTTCGCATACCAGTCGATGGAACATGCAGTATCGTCAGTGCAGTATCATGAGTGCTCGATAATGGGCGGCTCCTCGCAGGCAATAATGCGGCAGTGCTCATTATTGGCTGAACTACGCATCAATCTTATGTATTACATAAGCGTTGTGCCGCCTGAGTCCTGACAAGGCTTTGCTATTTTTTTCTATAAGTCACTGCAGTTCTTCAGTACCTCGGGATGTCAATGTGTAGTAGTCAAGAGGCTAACACCAACGCCCAGGGATGAAATGCTGAAAGCGGGTCTCCTACTGCTGTCCCTGCTATTTTTGTGCATACAGTACCATCTAGAGCGCCAGTGGTGACGGAACCAAGATGGAACTTTCTCAACAAGATCTACGTACGCTCAATTTTCTCCAAGTCCTTTGTTTTCGCCAGGGAGTTGAAAGGGACCAATGCTGGTGACATTGAGACTCAAGGTACGTTTTGACTTTTTATCATTTTTCTATATTCTTACTGCGAAGCATCTTGCACTCCTGCAGTTACTATCTCTTGCGCCTACCCGTTCTCTCGTGAACCAATCAATGTCTACGGACCTATACTTCTGGTCCCTCGCGCCCGTTCTCATGCTCGCTCTAACTCTTTTGTTTGTGCTCGCTCTCTTGCACCCGTTCATGCTTGCTCTCTCATACCTGTTCTCTCGTGCTAACTCTCTCCCACTTGTTCTCTCATGCCGCGCCCCATCTCTCATGCCCTCCTACTTCTCGATGTCGCTCGGTATTGAGACCATCAACTGCGGCACCACAACAAGCGCCCGCCACGTCACCTGCATCTTTGCGCACTGTCCACCAGCCGGTCCTTAAAAAGTTTCGAGGCTTTGCTCTCAATGCTGGCGACTTCGGTGCATTTTGTTTGCCCTTGGACTCTACTTGCTTTGCACTTATAGAAACCTTCATCATCGCTCTGAGACCTACTCACTTCTCATTGCTCCGTCTCGTCCACCGGCAGGCCTTGAAAAGATTCGAGGCTTTGCTGCCAATGCTGGCGGCTTCGGTGCATTTTGTTTGCCCCTTGGACTCTACAGTTCTTCATTGGGGACCTTGTCTGCAATATAATTTGATTATCGAATCATGTCAGATCTAGTAGTGCAGTACTAATTTTTCTACGATACAAGAGTATGTATGCGAAGGAGTGATTATGTGTGTGCGTCTCGTTTGTGTGTGTGTCGCGTCTGTGCGTGTGTATGAGTTTTGTGTGTGAAGAATAGTTGAACAGATCCAGCGCCATATGCTAGCGTGTATAAACCTTTTTCATAAACAAGTCCTAATGTATCATACTCATCCGGGATGCCTTTGTGTAATAGTAATACCCCTTCTAGAATACCCTGTACGGTACTCAGTGATTGCCTTGTCCTTTCGCTAGCGTGTATAAAACTTTTCTCATAAATACTAGATGTCTCATTGTTCTTGATCCCACGCGGGTCGTACCATACACTATTCTGCAAGTTTTTGTTATGTACATACAACCTAATATTGTAACATTACGTGTCTGCTAGACTCATCGACAACGATACGGTTCTAGGGGTCGATATGAACAATACTGTGCGACCTCAAATGAAAGATATGACATACATGCTGGGGAGATCATCCCCTTTCTGAGAGCTTGTAGGTTAAGCTTTGTCCCATCCTGCGACTTGAATGTCACTGTATTTTTGCTGGGGATGAAAGTGTTTGCGTTGCTATTCAAACTCCGTGTTGGGGAAGCCATCGCTGGACTTGGGGAGGGAGACGACCTTGTGCTCTGCACAGTTGGTGATGACAAGGCTTGTACGGTGAATACCGAATTCGATTGACGATCGTCCTCGATATGCAATGTATGCACATATGGTACAAGCTCTTTCCACGAGTCTTCATCGATGAGTACCTTTGCGGGATCAACTGTCCCATCTTCACGATAGAATGCAGCATACATGATACGGGAGTCGTCAGGGAGTTCCATGGAGGCTTTGATAAGCCCATATACAGTCTGCATGAATCGATCAGCATTGGGGAGAATAAGACTCGGGATAAGAGTGAGTCACGAAAAACAAGACGAGACTCACCCTGAACGGCACCCGTGAGAGATGCTCCCTTCCAAATGCCTTGATTATGGAACCCTTCGTACCCGAATACTCGACCATGATAGGCGATGATCTTGGCAGTGAGGAAACGAGACGTAAGGCCTCCATGCATTGCGCAAGACCTGACGCCACATCGTTAGGCGACGAAGCCAATTGGGAGAGGATTTTCAGTTGAGAGCGGCTCATTATCTGTGCTTAGAGGTCGCATCTTATCGATTGTCTGTATCCAACGTAACGCACCTGGTATTATAGAGGCTGTCTTGAAGTTGTAATGGTCTGAGAGGGAAGGAAGACAAGTGCGGCCGAGTAGAGATTCATTTTAGTCATATATTGCTGCCTTGTCACCACACGTTGCAACACGCTGCAATGCGCGATGCAGGTGTTCGGTGATGGGTATTAGCTAACGTGCCAGCTGACATGGGCGTCTGTGATATCGATCAGAGAGCTCGAGGTCGATACCAGCTGATAGAAGCATTATTAACGTACCACGAAGAAGATAACCTGCAACGTGAGTGGAGCTCCTGCAGGCTCGTGCGTGGCTTGTGCGTAGCTCTCTACCTAAAACAGACCAAAGAACCAAGTCCAGACTCTACTAGAAGCTTCAATGAGCGCGAGCGGCAGCGGCCGATTCCTGAGTTGAGACCGAATCTGGAGTCACCTGAACCAATTTCATGGCGATGATATCATAGCACGCAAAACCTGCTGGCAATTACATAACTAGTAACTTCGCCCTGTGAAGCCTACAATATCTGTGCGTGCCAAGGCTACTGAAGGGAATGCAGGGAAACAGTTCTGTGACTTGTCATTTTCTCCTAGAATTCGACAACCTCTACTTTGACAGAAGTTCTCACTGAACAGTGAAGTAAACTCCCTCATATGTGAGACACCGTTGGTCATCTTGAGTTCTAAAACGGAACTTGGCAGCGCTAAAAACTCACCTGATTATAACCGAATCCAATCAGCGTCCAACTTCATCATTTGCTGTCCGACTGACAGTGGCCGGCGTCTCTTCATCAATCATACTCCCACCATCCTCACGAACTGCCGCTGCCGAGCAGTACAATAGATGATGTACAGTGTTCTGCTGTTCCCAATATCTCCACTTTATGGGGTGTTGGCACTCTTATTTCGGATCCTTTCGACCTTCCTTGCACCTTCGACTTCGATCGGTGAGCCTTCCTTTCCATCCGCCTCATTTCCGCAGTTTCAGTGCAATGTTTTCCTGTCATGAACGTCTCTTGGACCAATGTCTTCAAGTTATGACGGATTGTTCTCCAGAGGCAGTCATAGACTTTCATAGTCTGGTTCGCCGGCTTTCCACGCAATTTCACTTTCTCATCTTGTCGGTGATATTGGTGGAAGCTAAAGCTTGGCTCTGTCTTGGGATGGCAAGATCCCAATGACGGTATTCATCTTGCTGTTAGTCCTCAATGTGGTCCCCTGTCTGGCACAGCGTCGGACTTCAACGCTGGTTTAAATCTTCCTCAATTCAAGACCATCGTTGCGTTTGGCGTTCGTAGGTTTTTTCCCTTTGAGGTTTTAGCTGGCTAATGAAATCATGCAGGACTCATTCACCGATGGCGGGAGACATGACGGTGGCCCTCTCGAGCCTGCCGTGATGATACCACCAGATGTCTTCGCAGGTGGTCGTTCGACCAACGGACCCGTTTGGGTCGAGGGCATTGCCAGTGGCATTGGCGCCAGGGTCATGGATTATGCCGTATGTTCTATCTCACAATCAATTCTTATCTTGACGTCTTGTAGTGGTCAAGCGCTGTTACAAACATCAGCTTATGGCCTAGCAACCCATATCCTCGGGACTTTATTATGCAGAGTGCGCTCTCTTCTTACTCATAATGAAGTTTTTTTTTTTGAATAATTGTCACTTTAGCAACAACATTCATAAACCAATCCAATAACTTGGATCCTGAGACCACTCTGTACGCGGTATTCTTTGGAATTAAGTGAGTGTTACAGCACGTATGTAGTCCCGACGATCTAACTCCGTGCCGTAGCGACTGGGGGGACTCCTTTGGTACTGACTTGAAACCATGAATCTAAATCAACGATGATTGACACTATGCCAGTGGACGGAAACCACCTACCTGAAGCAGCGCAAGATATGTTAGCCCAGATTGCTCTTCTTGCTTCTCCGCCCACAAATGCCCGCAATTTTCTCATCACCGATGCATACGGTCGCGGGACTCATAATGCACGAGGGGAGGCGTGGCTTCAATCAATTTTTGATGGTCTCGTCGCATTCCGCTCTCAGGATCCTCCATTGAATCTGGCTTTTGTCAATTTTGCGACCATCTGGGATGGGGTGCTTGGATCTGATCCGGGCTATAAGGCATTTGGGTACACAAACCCGGGTGCCTGCTATATTGATGGCAACGCTTGCGATGACCCGGAACATTACTTCTGTTGGTTCGACGGGTAAGTTCAGTATGAAGGTTGCACACGATCTGAAATAACGCTTTCTTAGGCATCCTTCCAAACAGACTCATAGGATCATGGCGGACTACGTGGAGGAGGTACTGACGCATTGTCGCGTATAATTAATTATGTTCGTGCTCTCTGTTTTGAGCTGCAGGTCAAATCAAGAACAGAAACTCAGAACTTCCAATGTATGTACTATCTTCGAGTAACATCATGTAGCACAAAGTAGTGTTCACCAGCAGCGCTATCGAGCGCCATGTAATTGATAGAAGTGTGCGATTGCAAGTGGTGCCAGCAGCACACTAAAATATCATAACTCGAGAGAGCAGCGGCTTTGCCGAGGCTGCGTTTTGTTCCGCAAGCTCAATTACGCCCTGGCCATGCTTGACAGGTCATCCAGACTTAACCCAACAGCAGTGGCAATGACATGGAACCCTCACGATAATCATCCATAACGATATGTTCGTCCCACATGGGCTACTGCCGGACATCAAGGTGAGAGGTGTGCTGTAAACGACTTTGGTCACAGAATCTAAAAGGTCGAACCGAGCACGTGCACATAAATCAACTTCAACAATCATCCATCAAGATCGATGATACCTGGCACAACCTGGCAAGTGAAACATAATCATATTGAATGCGAATAAAAATCAGAAGCAGTACGATACCCCATCCACGGACTCCGCCAAGGTTGGAATGTCGATGGGTAATCCTGGTTTTTCAGTATGCCGGTTTGCAGGCATCGTTATCGTCCTGGTGCGTGATCTGCGTTATGTGCACCTCCACTGGCGTACACTTCACATTATATCGCTGCTGGGTTTCTCGTGCTATCTCGTCGGCCATCCTGATAGTCGAGAGGGAACTATGACTTGGAGTTGTTTTCTTCATTGCTATTCGGATAATAATCATGTAAAAGGTAATAGAGATGATCGGCGTAATCTAGGTAGCCAAAGCTTGGTTATTTTTGATAAAAGGGAGTCGACAATGGAAATTACCATGTCTACTACAACATATTGTCCATTGTTCGCTTCGACGAAACATATCAATGCCGACAGGAGCGTCACAGAGTACAGAATAGCGGAATCTGCAAGCACGCGCACTATCGGCATCATACTAGAGCTCTTCGTAGCGCGAAGTGCGGAGACATCGCATTCCATCCTCCAGATCCGATATGCCAGCAATCCTGAACAAATTGGTCTCGGGCCTCGATTGCTCAGGTAAAAAGTATGCTCACCCGAAGCCGATAAATTACTTCCAAGTGTCATGGCATAGAAGGTCGTGATCCACGGGCCAGTTGATTTGGCGAAGATGTCTCCAGCATCGCTAGTTGCTTTTGAAAAACTGTAGACTGCACCAAAGCCGGACACTTGAATGAAACATCAGAGGGAGGACTTCCTGAGCATGGTAACGACCTAACCTGCCATACCGAACCACAACAAACTCGGTACAATGATAACCCACACAGATTTCCAGACGACGTAACAGCGATAAATCTTTGGCCGGAAAAGACATTTCATAAGCAAGAGGGTTGCAATCTGGCAGATAAAAATTGAACTTACCACGATTCCATCACCAAGCATTGTCTGCAAGTTATATATTATATTCTTGACCACAAATGTGATTTGGGAAACATCTGCAAAGAATGCCGATGGCCCCCCTGGGAATGTATTGCGATAGGTAACCAGTCCCTGTTCAACACGAATGAAGTCTACTATCATGTGCTTGTGAGGCTTGAGTACTGGATGGCGCCAGATGCAAAAGGGGAAAAACTTACTGCAGTACTTAGGATCAGCAGCATGCATGCCACCACAACATTTGGGCGATGAATCTTGTTCTTACGATGTCTGTAAGTCAATGCCCACATGGTACCAATAAACATGAGGACTGAAAAGCCTGAATAACCCAAGGTTAGTGAGTATGAGACGGACAAATCCATTGTGATACGTACCATATAAGATTCCTTCCATCGTGGTTGAAAATATAGCAGCATTATTCAGTGGTATGCCTCTCGAAGCCATGGCAGATGGAGTCTTGGGGGTGTATCGAGGATGGTGCGGGTATCTCGTCCAGTTCTCAGGCTCTTTAAATGTCAACAGGTCATCTGCCAATCATATGCCTTGAGGAATTGCATCAGTACCTTTTCAGCACAGTAAATCCAATTAGCTTGAACTCGAAACATCACAGCCATGATGTTAACATCATAGTAGCAAACAATTCATGGATAGCCTCGGTACAACTCGATCGGGGAAGGCGGAAGTAGTAAGGTTGTCATCTGCAAGTTCATAATTCGTACTAGAAGTATGTGCACCGTACGCACCCATTGAGGCCTGAGGACTCGGATGACGTTATATTTGAAACTGCGGAGATCAGTCGTGGATACCATTGGATGCTGTAGTCGCAGCAGGCGAATGTGTTATGAGGTGTGCGCAAGAGCGCTCAAGGCATGCGTTTGATCCCATAGATGCAGTTCGAAGAGATCTCAAGTGCTACGTGCCACACACACGATCTCCCCGTTAATCGGCAGACGGAGGGAGATCCTGTCGCCGCGTTCCTTTCTAATGTTGCTAAAGTCGAGTGACGCAATCCGACTGGTCTCCCCACGCTTTTATGCAGTAGTCACCCCTACGATAGTAAATGGAGAGTGACATCTATCATATTCAAATCTGTAGAGAAATAGTTGGGGTGACATTAGTTCAGTACGCAATTTCATTTCTCACAACTTCGCAAGGTCCGTGCGGGATAACGTCGATTTCAAATGGCGTTACATTGGAAATGACACTCTCACTATCTTGCGTGTTGATCGGGGACTCGGGTCGTTGACCAATGCAGAATGACCAGGGGAGGTCGATGTAGAATGGATTGTCTGCGAGACGCCTACTGAGACATACCCTATCAAAAGGATGAACCTCATTGAAAGTGGCTAATAAAAAAACTGTCGGGACAACTTACCGCCTACCGAAGCCAACAGTTAAGGACTTCATGTCATCCATAGACGGCCTTCTCAATTGGCCAGCGCAATTTGTCCTGGTCTGGAAAGGCGATGGCGCCACAACAGATTGCCCCTGAAATTAACAGATTCAGTTAATGAAGCTATGCAGTGTTAGTGAGGAGTAAAACCTTAGCAACAAAGATACCCACCGACCGCCGCAGCGCATGCTATGATAAGAACGTGGGTTACTGTACGGTTTACGAATCCAAATATGTGTATGGAGGCAACCGTAACGCGCTACACCTAGCGCTCAGCCTGTCATCCGATGGCTATGATGCACGGGTTCCAGGGACGTCAATGCGTGTAGTCTTGATAATGCACTCTGTGATATCAGATTCGGCAAAGACTGCGTAGCTTTCTTTAGCCAAAGTTTGTCACTCACTCTCGGTTTCCGTACCACGAGTGATGTCTGTCCTATTAGATAGGTCAGCCGGTGGATGTCCGGCATACACCACTAGCCTCACATTAATAATCTGTTGCTGTACAAGAACCATCCACACCATGGCTGTTTACATGTCCTACAATGACACCCTCATTTTCAGTGACCATCAAGGTGGGGCACATGAATCTCAGCCACCGCATCGTCCTTGCTCCCTTTTCCACTTTCGCGCGTATGTCAGTCGCGCCCTCGGATCCCCACGCAGCCGCTTAACTGCTTCACAGAAAAACCAGTGTCTGGAAACCACCCTCGTCACTGAACAGGTAGAATCGTGGAGCGCGCCACTGATGCTATGCATTATGGGGATGGTAGCTTTATTTATGCTAGCTGTGGGTACTTGCTTGTAAGTCGTGGATGCAGCCCAGTACTTGCTGAGGGTCTGTATCAGGTTGAGGCCATGAAATCCATTTCGAAGACGAGTGGATTTTGGACAACCTAAAGAAATTGATTTATTGCAGCAAGAAGGCGTGCGATCGAGTGACTTCCAACGTGCCAAAAGTTGGAATACCCTCCCTGGGGCGACAGCGTGCAGTCAATTTTCGAGAATTGTAAAAGAGCGACACGAAAAGCGAGCAAAGTGGTTAACGTTGTGTAAGAATGATCTAGCATCAAGTTCTGTTCCGAGGTGTGATGGTTCGATTTGACAGTCACGTGTCCCAGGCTGATGGACGTACAGTCGAGCCAATTCATTCTCCGTGACCCATCGAATGGAGGAAATCTGGCCTCACGCTTCGCAGTCACTTCATCCATATGTTCAGACAGTGGAACTCCTCAAACGCGCAGAATCAGTTGTTGGAGCACTTTCACTGATTCTCGTTGAATATGGGCTATCAAGCTTTCAAGGACCAGGTTGGTTGCTAGACGTTCCAGATGATTTCAGCTTACCACTTGGTTCAAGCGCAGGTACTTCTTTCCAGTAGTGATGTAACAATAAATACTTTGAAACCTCATATGCTCAATAAATACCACGATGCGACGAATGTCAATCAAATGTCTCCTCCCTCCAGACCACTCGGTAAGCATTTCCCTATACAGTACTGCTAGTCGATACATGTACACATTCTTGGAAGACAATTGAGTTCATGCTAGTTTCTGCGTCGGAGTCTGCCACGAGTTTTGCGTGATATTCTCGAACGCTAAGGATGAGGCGTGGTCCCAACACAAACATCTGCACGAACAATAAAATTTCAAGAGCGCCTTCAAGTATCTGAGCTCCAATAGAATGCGAATTCTACAGAAATGATGAGCAGTGGTTACACGTAGATGTCGGCGACAGATCGGCGCACCATGATTTTCGGAGAGAAAGCAGCAAGCTGGAGGCAAGAGACACCAACAAAGCTAATATGTGTGGAACTTGAGCAGAATAATACAACTGCGTTCATATTACAAGCTCACCTTGCAAAATAGAGAACGTGAGATTGTATCAGCACTCTGAAACAGTCCCCAATGGTCGATCCTGTCGATCGGCTGAGCCGTCGCAGGTTACGGAAGTGTTTCACAGCAACCCAGACTACAAGACACAGTGCGAGGACCTCCCAAACAGTGTAGAGTATCCAAACCATTGAAAACCAAAGCTGCTCATCCTCTTCATATACATAACCGCATATATACGTGCCAGAGAGTATCAGCTCCTCTGGCGTTTGTCCTATGAGGTCTGCTCTTCAAGTCAACAGATAAAGCTTACCCCCTACAACATACTTGAGTTCTATTGCCAAGATTACACCACAGGCGATGGTGCCAGCCAGAAAGGTAATAACAAGGAAGATGAGCATCATTCTGGATCCCTGATACATGGCATATAAGCGAGCAATCATAATGACTTGCATGAGGTTTCAGTCGAGTCGATATCACAGAGGTACTGCAGCTGGGTGACTTACTGCCCAACATGGCAGCTACGACCACATTTATCCCAATCGCTACGTAGTCCGTAATATTGCCTGAACCACGTAATTAGTGAACGACCTTTATGATAGTCAAACGCTCCGACTTACACCTATTGAGTGAATATGTCGAGCCAAGCTCAATCATGATGGTCAAAATCTCACTCACCCCTACAAATGAGTGTATTCATTAAATGTGAATAACATGGTTGTGGAATACTTACTGCATCTGTCAGCGAGATCCATATCACATTTTCTGTGTGCCGTCGGTCAGAATAATCGAACACAGCACATGTGAGACATACGCAGAACTTTGACACTAAGTGTCAGAGATGAGTTATTAGCACGATGCCAATTTGGATTCGTTGGCGTCGACACATACACAAAGTACGGTATTCCAATATAGCGTACCTGAAGCATTTTGGTGTCAGCACAACCGTAAACCACGGTATAGTACAACATGAGGTACGAACAACCAAATACAGCACAGTCATGAGAGACCAACGTTGCCTCTGTCGCGAATTCATTGTATTCCCTTGTATTTCTGACACGGGACTCTTGTCACTCACCCAGATCAGTTCAATCTATGACACCATTCTCAGCGAGTTGGCTGCTCCGGCAATAACATGGACATACCTCTTGTTCGAGTGTTAAGACTGGAAATATCATGAGAATATCGGCGATTTTCGAACACTGTCCTGCTCACCCCAATCGTATACCACCACGGCGCCCGCGGCAACTGGGAAACCACATGTCACCGTTTAATCTAGACATCCTGAGGTGACGAACCTATCCAATAGCTGAAAAAAACACTCAATTCGATTTTCGACCACCAACTGGGATCATTTGAGACGAAGGTCATGTTCGAGTGAGATGGGTGTGAGCCTGAGCGAGTGAGGAAAGGCAAAAATAAACACGAACAAAACCACAAGAAAACGGGCAAAACAAAGTTACTAGCGGTGTATGACGATAGCGTTCGTGCTAGATATACCACCGTTCAGCGCTGCGCTTCTATCGCCAAAATCAGCATGATGGTGATAAATATTTGGGGCGAAACAGTGCCCCCGCGGCCCGGGTGATCGGATCAAAGTAGATTTTGATTTCCAAATCAGTATTAGTACGCTGCTGTACGCACGGGACGACTTCAACACCTGCATCCTTATAACCCGGGGGCAATATTGACAGCCTACAGGCCGATGCCATCAACTTGCTCATCACTCTTGACATTCCGCTCTCCTTACTATGCCTGCCAGGCCGTACTATGTCGAAGCAACATCCAATAATGCGCTTACTACTTTGCATCCTCCTTTACCTCGTTGGAGTCGTCCAAGCTGCACCTACAACTTGCTCATGAACCCGACATGGACGGCAACGAAATCGTGATGCTTTTGAACGCTGCGGCAGCTGATGAATGAACATGTAGAGCATCCCCAATCGACGATGAGACAGTCACGTTTAATTTTGGACGCGACCCGACACTATAGTGTTCGTCTTTATTCTCCGGAGATCCTAGTCAGTGCTCTGAACACAGAAATCGTGTTTCTGGAAATAAAGGTGCGTTGGACCATCTCCCTAGTACCCACGCTGACACCTCTGTCATCAAAGCAGACGAACAGATTCAACCTGCACAGGGCCTTCCATCTTCGTGGCCTTCCAATATCAATCATCAATATCAACGACCGCTCATCTCTCGAACTCAAGCTTAGTGGACCACGAGCAAAACTATGCACGGTGGATCATTTTCAGATCAATTCAAATATCCGCATGGGTCAGCAGTATGAACATCTGTCCAAAAACAACTGTACTGATTGGCTCCGAACTAGGTATTGCACCATCAGGATACCAAAGCGAAAGCAGAAGCATGACTCACTGTTGTGATGTGCCGCTCGAGCTGCCAGCTCAAATTTCAAATGGCGACTGGCAGATGTAACGTCCAGTTTAAGGTGCGCAGGTGAGTCGTGTGGTTGAATCCTGGTTACCCAGCGATGTGCTCGCACTCACGTCCCAACCCCATGAACAAGCCAAGCCTTCGTAGCAATCTGTATGTCTTGTGCAAACATGTGAGAAGCCTGTACATGCACTGACAGACGTAGATGCTGTCAAAGCAACAACAACGGCGCGAGCAAGGAGAAATGCATTTTCTGTGCGGAATCTTCTGGTGGGGATCTCGAATGATATCTCTGAGGACGACGGCCAGCTTTTATATTCTGCGTATACTTATGGGCACGATTCCTATCGATTTGGCAGAATCTGTTATGGCTGTCAAATAGCAGAATTTTCGGCAAAACCTGCAGTGACCCTGCCAGCGCAGCGACAAAGTTAAGAAGTTGATGCTCATTCTCGTCGATACTTCCGATATGTCCTTGAGCGATATCTCATGCCGGTTTTTTTCACTTACTCGTTGCTCCCTTATATGTAGTTACACAGGTCAAATAGACATATGTAATCATACTAGGACACTGGCAAAAATGAAAGATCCAAAGCAGTTGAGTACCGGGTAGATGTGGCCCCCATCGGATCCACGCCTATATTTGATATCGTTAGATAAAACACAGTGCAAGAGAAGGGCCTTCGCAATGTATGACTGATAGACTCGAAGACCTCAAAGTGGTCATAGAGAAGAGATGTTTAAAGCTGCGTATCCGACGCTGTTTTCAGATCTGTTGAATTGCTTCAATCTTCGGTAACGTGGGGGCATCGGACTGCGAAGTTCGGTATGAGCCGAGCTGCTAAAGAACAAACGTCATGTAAACCTCACAGCTGTCTTGTGTGGTTCAAACTGCAAGAATGCGATATTCTGGCGCATTTCCTGGCTGGTGAATGGCCCCATAACGAACTGACTGAGGTTTCATTGCATCAAGCAGCATGGGGCCCTGGCTAGAGTACAAGAACACCATGCGCATCGCACTGGCACGTTGCCATCACCACGAACAGTTCAGTCTTTTGTGGCGTTCAAACACTTCGCGCGAGTTACTATGTTACATGATTTTCTTTGATCAATCAGATGTCATCCCTCAAATCTCACTTCGGCGATGTAAGTACTGCATGGTGGTATATCAAGCACGATTGCGATCGTTAAACGTCCACCAGGTCCCCCGCTATCTCATTCCCATCCTCTAATAGTATGACCCTAGTCTCGAATGACCCCAGATGGTGGCCAGCCGTCAATGAGAATCTTATCATCAGCTATTTTATAGGTTTGTTCAGAGGCAGCCGCATGATGACCGTGATGACTCGGTTAACCTTGGTTGCGGTTTTGCAGTTGCCGCCTGTACTGCGGTAATGTACGATTGGGGTGAGCAATATTAAATATGAAAAGACCACTGACATTATGAGATTTCTAGGACTAACGTTCGGAAAAGAGGTAGGTCGACACTGACAGGAGCAGTTATCTCGCTGACAATAATTTTATAGGTGGAACTGGTTTGGGTGAGCGGACTTCCACATCAAAAGACCGATGTGAAAATACTACAACTAATTCGCGGCAGAAGCAACGCTGGTTCCTGATAACCGTTTTGTATCTCGTTGTACGTAGCTTGTGTTTTTAAGCGTGGTTAGCAAGTTGTACTGACGCGAACATATCCAAGGCACGATATGTTGCAATAGGATTTGCTGTGTACGTTTTGACGTTTAGGCCATTGGTGTTGCGCTCATTACCCATCTCTCGCAATCAGGATGAACGTCTTCAGTATGTCTCCTCGCATGAGCTCTGTTTCTTTCTTGTGACGAGCGGCATACAGTCAGTGTTCCAACAATTTCGACAACAGATGCAGTGAGTACTTGGCACAGATGCCTTGCTTTCTATTCCTGTGCAAACAACTAAATTACAATGTAGGGGTGAGTGAGATTTTTGAACAACTCGTTGGTTCGATACAACGACTCCCACAGTTGTGAGTTTGTTTCAAGCCTGTGATCCTCCGAAGCTGATAATTAATGTTGCTGAATTTGTCAGGCCTTATCATATACAACGTACTTACTTGGACGGGCGAGGTTGTAAATGCAATACTGGGTGGTGAGCTATACACTTTCTTGATATTGACTTGACTGAAACATCATGCAAGCCATCATGATAATTCGGTTGCATGTCATGTATCAGCAATCTAGAAAGGTGCTGATATTTCTTGTCGTCATATTTCTGGCCATCAGAGTTGCCAGTGCAGTGATCATCGCAATAATGACGATGCAGGTTTCAGCAGGTAAACTTTAACTATGTATGAAATGTCCAAGTGCATCAGGCTCACCGACAAGCACCAGAAGAACTCCTTCTCTCCGGTACCCATCAGTGCATGATTGACTATGCGGGAGATTCCATATTTCTCGTTTCCATGACTTGGATACTTGGCACTGTATGGGAGGTCCTTGCACTGTGTCTCGCGGTCTGGATTGCTGTAAAGCACTTCCGTGAACTGCGAAGAGACTCAAGAACAAGTCATGTCAGGGACTGTTTGACGGTGTTAATACAAACTCATGTTATTTACTTTGCGAGGTGAGCTCATAATGTGAATGTGGTTCTTGCTCCGCTGAAGTTTTGCACGTGCTAGTTTTTTGGCTGCTTCTTGCTTCCAGATCGGTTTATTCTCTTCGACGCTCTCAATTGTATGCCGATCTCTCACCGACCTTTACGTGCGACCATGATTCATCATTTCTATAGGACATATATTCCCTGGACACTCAGATCTATATTGGTTTCGCTCAAATCTTCGAGATAGCACAGCTGTCTGTGCTGGGACCACGCCTCATCCTCAGCGTTCGAGAAAATCATGCCAAGCTCGTGGCCGACTCTGATGCAACAAGCGTTATGACTTCAATGATTGTTTTCCAGGAGAGCGCCCATGTGGAAACTAGCAGTAGCGTGTAGCGCAGAGCATTCTCAATATGGTTGTTTTGCATAGTCTGCAGGGAGTGGGAAAATTCTCACTTGCAGTACCTGGAGTTGACATTCTTCTGATTTCGCGGTGTGATAGGTTCCATAGGTATATAGTTAGAGTGTCGATCCGCCATCATGATGTTCTTCTGGCATTTTCTTGCTGTCTCGCTGATTAGACTTTCAATATTGATTATCAGTTTTTGTGTACGATACAGTACTATTGAGGTCGTTATATCGTGTACTACTAGTGCTACATATATCTTTCCGTCGATGCGATTCTTGTCTTCGTCGTATCGGCTCTGAGTCACTCACCATATCCAGCGCGGTGGCTAGTGTCCTAGTCTTGTCTAGAAGGTCTACCAGGAAGCACCCGATCAGTTCGAAAGCTGCGTCGGCATTTGGGAAGCAAGAGCTATCGAGTTCAAAGATCTCGTCAGAATGAGTCGATCAGCACGTCCTTATATCTCTGTACGTGCGAGGCTGCAGCCGCTTCATCACATACACTTCGATCGAGATTGATGATGATGCCGAAGCACCTGTCACACATCAGCATGATGTCTCAGGGTGCCTCTGATGAAACAAGTTTTCGCTACTAATTAGCATTGCAGTCTGCTGTTCAGTGCATCGTTCAGTCGGATAACCATAAATTCAGGATCGGTGCTAAATATACATAGCAAGGGAATTGTAGAATCAAATGGCTACGCTTGATATTGCAGCAATAAAAGCATCGTTACGTGGAGCTGGAAGGATCGAGGTTAGTAACTGCGAGTATGGTAAGGATTAAAAACTCACGCGTCTCGGCAACTCGACCAGCGCGCCCATGTGCCATGCAGCTCAAATCAAGCTCAACGCTTCCTCTCGGAATCACCATTGCAGTGTCAGGAGAATAAAATAGGTGTCGGGAAGCGGCCCCGGGAGGTACCCAGAGACGGAGCTCATGTTTGGGTCCCATGAACCACCCATCAGGCTGCAGCAAGAAAGGGGCTGAATTAGAACGATGATCAGAGGTGGGTTCAAGCAAGTCAGCGGGGTTGGGCAGGGCGTGTGTCAGACAGGGCGAGAAGGAAATGGGAGGATGATTAGAAGTGTTGGTTGGGGTAATACGACATTCTTGAGGAGGAGGTTACTTCGATGCAATGGAGATGCAAAGGGATCCAGCACTGTGAACTTGTAAAATGGCGGCACTTTCATAAGCCGTACAGTGTTATCCTCCGAACTAGAAGCGATGCGAGTACCATCTGGTGAGAACCAGACTGACTGAATCGGGCCAGTGTGCCCCTTCAAGGGCTCACCCAATGGCTGTCCTGTCGCTGCATTCCACAGCCGCACGGTCTTATCATCCGAACCAGACGCGATGCGAGTACCATCCGGTGAGAACGAGACTGAGTAAATCGGGCCAGTGTGCCCCCTGATTATGGCCTGAACAACCGTCCAGTTCAGATCGCGGCCAGATGTCAGACAAAGGGTATTCGGAAACCTAGCCGTAAATTTGGTAGCCATCGTAGAGTTGACGGGCGAGAACGGGAGTGCTGATAAATACAGATGGGGTGTGCTGTGCAATACCATGCCGCCAGACACTTGAATGAATCTTTGTGCATCCATCGTGGCGGACCGCAAATCTTCGTATCCAGAATAGTCCTGTATATATGTATGAGCTGTTCGTCCGACCCTGCCTCATGAGCATGTGCTCACCTCACTTGGAATCTGAGATGTGGCAAGATGCTCATGTCGTTGTAAGAATAAAAGCAAGTCGAGCGCTTACTTCGATTTTCTGACTTGATGAAGCCCCTTCCATTTCGACATTCTGGACCACAATGGTTGATGCATCTCGAAGGTCTACATTCTGGTTCGCAGGAATGCGGCTGCGGAAACACTTGAAGGGTGTCTGCACAATGTCAACCATATTCAGAATCAGGAAAGCTAGCAGCCTACTCACAGAAAGTTTCTTGATCACGCCTTTTGCAAATTTTCGAGTACTCGACTACGGGGTCGGCTCTGGACGAAGAAAGCGTCAGAAGCAGCGATGAATTCCATGAGTGTTCATCCAATGTACATTGAGTAAACCCTTGAGACTACATACCGAGTTTTCACGAACAGGTGCCTCGCAAGTTTCTGGAGGAGGATCTGGTCTATGGCCTTCGCTCATCACGAGCAGTCGATTACTGTAAGCGAAGTGAGGGTGTAAGAAATAAGTGGGAGAAAAGAGAGAACCTCTGGCATGAGCCGAATACCCTTGACCAAAGCATGGCCAACACGTTGAATGATTCTTGAAGCGCTAATCATGATTATCGGCCATATGCCCATTGCCGCCAAAATATCTACCTCATTCTTGTCGATTTTCACTGGGCTTGAAGACAAACCTACCAGACTAAACGACGTTTCTGACTCAGCCTACGCGCCACTGAAGGGAATGCAGGGAAACGGTTCTGTGACTTTCTTACAATTCATCTTATTACATAACCTTCACTTTGGCAGAAGTGCTCTGAAGTAACTCCCTCATGTGCGAGACACCGTCGGTCATGTTAAGTTTTAAAACGGAAGTTGGCAGCGCTAAAACCTGATTACAACCGAATTCAATCAGCGTCCAACTTGAAGCATCATTTGCTGTCCGACTGAGATATCAAGCGCCATGTAATTGATAGAATGGTAAACCATGTGATTGCAAGTGGTGCCAGTAATATAAGCATCCATCCCTACAGAGCACCAGCTGGGCAACATGATATAAAACATAACTCGAGAGAGCAGCGGCCTTGCCGAGAGCCCGTTTGTTCCACAAGCTCAGTTATGCCCTGGCAAGGCATAAGATGTCAACCAGACCTAACCCAACAGCAGTGGTGATGACGCTTTTTGATACACCTCACGAGGATCAGCCATAATGATCTGTCGGTCCTTGAGTTGTTTGGCAATTTCACATGGGTTGCTGTTGGACACGATCCAGGTCTTGGAAAATAGTGCACGGAATCGAGGGTCTGGATTGGTGCGTATACTGATCCACTCAGGTCTTATCATTTTCAACGATCCATTGACGATAGCCTGGCGAGTGAAACATATAGTCATATCCAACAAGTTAAATACAAATAGCACGCAGAAGCAGTACGATACCCAACGTTGATGATCAAAACTCATTTTTCAGTATGCCAATTTGGAAGTTTCGTCCTGGTGCGTGACCTGGGATATGTGCACCTCCACTGGCATACGCTTCATATAATATTGTTGTGGAATCTCTCGTGCTGTCTCGGTACCCATCCCGATAGTCGAGGTGTTATTGTAACGTGTTGTCTTCATTGCCATCCGGATGATAATCATGTAAAAGGCAATAGAGATAATCGGCATAGTCTAGGTAGCCAAAGCTTGGTTATTTTCGATAAAAAGGAGTTGACAGTGGAAATTACCATGTCTAGTATAATATATTGTCCGTTATTAGCTTCGACGAAACACACTAATCCCGTCAGGATCGTCACAGAGTACAGAATAGCGGCATCAGCAAGTACGCGCACTATCGGCATCATGGACTTATTTGAAGTGCGAATTGCAGATATATTACGTTCCATCCTCCAGATCCGATATGCCAGACATCCTGAATAAATTGGTCTTGGGCCTCGAATATTCAGGTAAAAACTGCGCTCACCTGAAGCCAATAAATTACTTGCAAGTGACATGGTATAGAAGGCCGTAATCCATTGACCAGTTGGTTTGGCGAAGACGTCTCCAGCCTCGCTAGTCGCGTTTGAAAGTTTGTAGTCTGCACAAAAGGCACACACTTTGCAGGGACATCAGAGGTACGACTTGCTAAGCATGATTGTGACCCGACCTGTCATAGCGATCCACAACAAACTCGGTGCAATAATAATCCACACAGATTGCCAGACGACGTAACAGCGATAAATCTTTGGCCGGAAAAGACGTTTCATAAGCAAGAGGGTTGCAATCTGGTGGATAGAAATTGAACCCACCACCATTCCATCGCCAAGCATTGTTTGCAAGCTATACATTATATTCTTGACCACAAATGTGATTTGGGTAACATCTGCAAAGAATGCCGCTGGTCCCCCTGGAAATGTGTCGCGATAGGTGACCAGACCCTGTTCGAGACGAACGATGTCTACTATCATGTGCTCGGGAGATTTGAGTACTGGATGATACCAGATGCAAGAGGCGAGAAACTTACTGCGGTGCTCAGGATCAGCAGCATAAATGCCACCGCAGTATTTGTGCGATTAATCTCCTTCATACGACGTTTGCGTGTCAATGCCCACATGGTACCCACAAACATGAGGACCGAAAAGCCTGGATAACCCTAGCTTGGTGGGAATGGGACGGACAGATCCATTGTAATACGCACCATATAAGATTCCTTCCATCGCGGTTGAAAATATAGCAGCAGTATCCAGTGGCATGCCTCTCGAAGCCATAGCAAGTGGAATCTTGGGGGTATATCGAGGACGAGGGTGCGAGTATCTTGCCCAGCTTGATGTTCAGCTCAGGCCTTTTGAATACTAGCAGGTCATCTATTCATATGCCATAATGAATTCATCAGTACACAGCAAATTTGATCAACAATTCCTCTCACTGGACTTGAAACGTAACGCCGTCTGTGGTTCGACATCACAGGAGCAAACCATTCATGGATTGAGCCTCTTTCCAATCTGATCGCGGGAGTAGTATGTGACCGTTATCTGCACGTTCGTACTAGTACGCACCCAGTGACTGGGATGATGCTATATTTGAAACTGTGGCGATCAGTCACCGATACTATTGGATACTGCAACCGCTCATCACGCAAATTATGCCATGAGGTGTGCGCAAGCCTAGTGCTCAAGCTTAAGGCGTGGTTTGATGCCAGACATGCGAGTCGAAATCTTAAGTGCTATGTGCCACGCATTCCTGATCTCCCCGTTAATCAGTAGTCAGTAGCAGACGGAAGGGGATCCTGCCGCTATGTTTCGTACCAATACCGCTGAATCGAATCCAACCCATCTCCCCATATTTCTACGCAGTGATCACCCTTCCTATAGCGAATAGAAAAAGAGGATCCATCAATCTCAAATATGTAGAAAAAATAGTTGGGGTGGCATCAGCTCAGTACCTAATTTCATCTGCCAGTGCCATCATCCCTTTCAACTTCGCAACATCCAGATTCCAGAGTCCGTCCGGGGATGATACACCGATCTCAAATGGTGCTGCATGGGAAACGAGAAGTAGCTTGTGTGTTGATCACCGGGTAGTCAGGTTGTGGTCCGGTGGAGAGATAAGAGGATGCCGAATTACATGCAAGATGCCTAATACACACAGGTTCGTAGCGTAAGTTGATAGTATTAGTAGCGCACCTGTGATGGATCATTGTTGCAACCGTAGTTGAAAGTCGATGTTTATAATAACTGTTAATAACACTGTTGAAAAGTCGTCGTGTCCCAGGATCCCAAGGCCTGTTGAAAATTGTGGATGAATCCAGGGCGTGTGGGAACATTTTGAATGAACTTCTGAGGCTTGAAAAAGTACAACCCTCCCACCGCCAACCTTATTTTTGACGCCCTAGTTATGTCTGGACTCTGTATTTCTTGATTCAACTGTTGGCTAACTTGCTCGTTGTTTGGTGGGCATCGTTGAAAGACCATGCGCCATGAGAGCCTGCGACATCAAGAGTTTGCTCAACGACAAAAGGCAGCCAGAAAGCTTCTCACATACGCCGCCAAGACCAGACGACTTGAACCCATTTTGAGCAATGCCAGCCCGCCCGCCAGCGCCAACAGTTGAAACCCGAAGATTGGCTCCACCCTCACCAATCACACTCAGATGCCTTCAGCAGGCACCCATCGTCCTCGCTCCAGCCGGAACCATTACTATAGAGACACATAGAGGCAGCAATCAGAATACGATCCAGTAGTGCATATACATGGAATGTCCACCATAGGGCATCGCCCAAACGAACAATAAGACAATAACCAAGGAGTCCATCTTATCTCGTCAATATGAGCAGGTTTATTAACTAAGTAACGTACCACTCTAATCTATCAGTTAGTACTTATTCCTGAGTAATAAGTGTAGGTGAGCTTGGCAGCAGAGAAAGATGGTATCCAAGGGTTCAGCCTAAATGAGAAGAAAACAAAGATATCATGATCAGTGCGGGTGACTCATGAGCATACATAATAAATTGTAGAGGGCGCCTACATTGAAGGAACTTCTGATAGGCCTACTGTTAGTACTGATCTCTGAATTTTCAACTCACCGGCGGGTTTGACGGTCGCGTTTCAGAGAGCTCAGGTTCTATTCGCCACAGAGTAGTGTGGTGGTGCCGATAGCCTGTATGGGGCACCCACCGAAGAACTTACAGATGTACGGAAATATTTATGTAAGCAGCTGAAATGAAATTTGAAATTCAACCCCAGCCTCCAATTGGTCGGCGTTTCCATCAAACCCAGTTTCTCCCACTGCAGAAGCCATCATGATACGAGCTTGATGCGGCCATGGATATTTTAATCCTGAGATTTGAACTAACAAAGTTTTGCGGTGAGTGTAAGCTAAGGTTTCTGCCTAACCTCTTTCAGGGCGGTGTATATCAATATATATATCTTTTGACAGTTTCGCAATGATAGCTAGGCGCTGACTCGGAGCTACCGACCACGATGAACCACCTTGAATTAGACAACCTCCAAGCCTCCCTGAACAATGCGCTAAACAGTCTACGCGTCGCAATGGACGGGTCGGGATTGCCGCCTTTGTCTTCACAGTATGGAACCGACACGCACCCTTTGGATAGCATGGACCAGCCCACACCAGTTGGTGTATACGAAGCCCGCAGAGCAGCGCTAGGTGTGTTAGAATGCAACAGGATCAACCCACGTACTGATTCGCCCTTCTAGCATGTGCTGTAAGTTCAAATCCCGCATGCTCCTGCTGTAACATGTACCAATTTATTCATTCAGGTAGAGCTCAAGAATCTTCTGCAACATCCCTTTGAGAAAGCCGCTGAGAGCGCCTTTTCCATGTATGATTATCCTTCCGTTCAAGTCTTTATTGAACATGGCATCGTGGACCGCATGGCGAAAGAGCCATCTGGCATCTCTGTCAAAACTCTCCAGTCAGAACTGGACCTTGACTCCCATAAGCTCACCACGGTATTACGCCATCTGTCAGTTTATGGTTGGATTCGAGAGACTCAGGATGGTATTTTTGCCTTGAATCGCTCCTCTCGCATTTTACTACAAGGCCAAAGGGGTCGTGCAGTAGTGATGTAGGATTCTTTTGCCCACCGACTTTGCACGATTAATCTTGTTATAGGGCTCCCAACTACATGAGGATTGCAGAGGCTCTTCCTCGATGGCTTGTGCATCCCGAATTCAGGTTCTCTAAGTCTCCAGATCACACCGCATTTCAACTTGCGAACAATACTACAAAGCCATTCTTCGAATGGGTGAAAGATGATAGGGATTATCTTGACCGATTTGCAGCGGGTGTCGAGGTTTGCATCATCCGCCTTTAACTGGCAATACTATACTTATAATTCTCAGGCAATCGGCGAATATGTGACCCCAGGAATATTATCGGACTACCCATGGCAAACGTGCTCAGAATCAACTATTGTTGATTGTGCAGGGAGGTAAAGGGAGCCTATCTATCGCCCTCGCTAATAAGTCAGTGAAAAAAAACTGTTAAGAAGCAACGCAACTGAAATATAGTATCAAGATTTCCTGCCCTCAGTCTTGTTGTCCAGGAGAGGGAAGAGATGATCGGGCCTGCTGAAGCTAACATCAAGGCCCGTTTGGATCCCAACTCAGTTCATGGCACAGTAGTTGCTGAAGCTAATGACTTGTTCTCTGCTCAACCACGCACTGGGGATAAATATACCTTCATGTTACGACATGTTCTGTGCGCTACACCTTCGTGATCCTTAGTTATCCACTGACGTTCTTTCATAGGCACGACTGGCCCGAGGCCCAAGCTGTAAGTCTTTTTATCATCGACATCAAATCTTAGTTGACGTTTCCAGGTGAACATCCTAGAGAAACTTGCTGCTGCTGCAGGACCAAAGGTTCGTTCTCGACATCACTTTGTGGTTCCGAGAGCACGTTAAATATCTTTCCAGTCCAAAATCCTGATCATCGAGAGAATTTCTGGGCACTATCCCGACACTCATGTCGAGCTTGAACATAGCCCAGTAAACACAATGGATAGCACAGCTCCTGCTTCCCTCATAACCGAGCAAACCATTCTCAATTCCTCATTTCGCATGCCACAGGCACTCGCCTTGCATCTCTTGTGTATTTTGAATTGCCACGAAAGGACATGGGTACGCCTGCCCTCAAGCTGTCTTGGCATGAACTCTGCTCACCATTCTTTTAGGATCAGTGGCGAACTATAATTTCCCGGGCTGGCCTTGTAATCACAGGGGTGTACAAGCTTAGGACTTACGTGTCTATCATGGAGTGTCGCGCTATTCATGCAAACGAGAGTTGAGATGACCTTATATTGACAACTCGTTATCTGCTATAGAATGTACAAGGACACGCCTTCAGTCGTCTGTTTCCCAATCAACAGTGTCTACAGTAGAAAGCCACTGAATACAATGTTTGTACAGTCTTGTCCTTCGTTCTCTCCGCAAACAGACGCAGCGTGTCTCTTCGCGTTCTGACCCTCGATAACGCCCTGTACAGTTGACCGGGACCAAATGGATCCTTTCGCAGGTCAAGCTTCAAGGACAGATGCCAAACCCTGTGGAATACGAAGCTCTAGTTCTAGTATAGTACAAGTTCTACTATCAGCTAGTAACACGCATTGTTTACATAGATGAATTCCAATCATTGTGGTCGAGTAAGCGAGTAAGCGATGTGTCTATCACGGCTCCGTCTGGCTAGTCACCAAACCCAATCTACCTCGCTCTAAGACAGCTTTGAAACCAAAGTGTGCCTCCACACCGAAGTTCTCCGTGGGGTTGTACATTGTGTGGATGGGCTTCCGTGCGTTGATCTCGCTCAAAACGATCTTGGCTTCCTCATCAGCACCTCCAAGCACGCGATCGATGTCGCTCTCTGTCATGACAGGCGCATCTGGGGATGTTAGAGAAGGATCCAGTCTGTTCAAAGTTTAGTATGAGATGATTTAGTTGAGCAAACGATCGACCCTCACCTAGCTTTGACCGCAGAATGCATCTCGGGATCGGTTGGTGCGAATAGATGACTACAAAAGTCCATAGTCTTCTGTTAATCGGAATCAGGAATATCATGGAAGATAGTTGCAGAACACACGCACCTGGAGTTCGTCTTCTGTTAAGGCCTTACCAACATCTGCTGTTCCTTGTATCACTGCACTCGAGTATCAGATTTTGTAGTGATAGAAAACACGTCGATCCTCACCCGGCCTGATGAGATCAAAGGCTCTGTCAAAATTGTCCTCATCCACATCACTCATCACCGGCATAGCTTGGTTTCTGATCTGTTTGTAGGTGCCCAGGACGACAAGAAGGAACCTGCGGCATACATTGCATTAGATCTTAGTTACTATCACTCCAGTGACTGAATCCACATGCCTCGTGTAAGAGGTCGCGATCTTTGAGGTGTGCCAACGCTGGGCATCTTCTTCGCTGCAGAGTCCTCGAATCGACGCAGAAATCGTGAGAGCAGCCGAAAGTCCACCTGTGAAAGCCAAATGGACGCCAGAGGAGAAGAATGGATCGATGAACGCTTATAAATTGTCAGTCGCGAGTGCCACAACATGTCAAGAAAATTACCTCCAGCATCCCCAGCCAGTCGGTAATGATCCCCAGCATAAGAGGGGGCCGAGTAGCTAAAATCGCCTGCAGATTTCACAGCCATCGGTGTACCATCGTTTCGAAGGGTGGCATCTCCCATCAACTTAAGGACTCCAGGAGCGTTGCTTAAAAGCTCTTGCTTGTAATGAGCCAGAAGATTTGAGCCGGATCTCCTGAGGCCGCACGGGAAGCCTTCTTCTTGCGACTGCTTGACTCTTGATCCATCACAACTCCCACAGATGTGGATCCATCGTGAAGGGGAATGAACCAAGCCCATCCAGACTCGTCTGCAGACAGTGAGATTACTGAAACCTTTTGAGTTGTTTTCATACCTTCAAGTGCTTCAACAAAGATAGCATTCTGGCGAGTGGTACCCGGCATGTAAGACCCGGCTCCATCCCAGTATCCCCAACAAGCGACATTGTTGAGAGCCTGATTAAATCGTCTGTTCTTGAGATACTTTGTGGACATGACCCCGTTCTTTCCTGACGCATCGACTAGGTAGGTGAAAGAGATACGGCCCTCGATTCCAGTGCAGGCATCCTTCCAATCGGCTGAAACAGGTCTTTCGCCCTCGAACTGAAACTCGGTGACTCTTATATTGTCGAACACATTTGCGCCTACTCTTCGAAGCATGACGGAATAGCAAATCGTCAAACTCCGACCGAATCTGCAAAACGATGAGACGGTGAGCATATCCCCAATATATTACATACCACGTTCCAAGACCCATTGTCTGGGTTCAGCGCAATGAAATCTGTATCTGGAATGGACGATCGATATTAGTATGACGATGAGTGATGAACGAGAGCGACTGTGGCTCACATCCTTCTCGTTTGAACTGGTTCAGCTTGACCGCAGCACCAGGCTATAAGAGGGTGAATAATGTACCCGGACGTTGAAGACTATCCAAACCTTGACTGTGAATCCGTAATTCTTGATGGTTTCTTTCGCATCAATAAATGCCAAGAAGGGGCGGATCGACGGGAGCAAGCTCTCGCCAATATGATAACTGGTACAAGTATGTATTAGTGACTCCGTATACCGATGCTCGTGTATCAGATGTACTGACCGGGGGAACTTGGCAGCTTCGAGAAGAGTGACTTCAAAGCCTTCTCGAGCTAAAGCAGCAGCAGCGTAGCTTCCGGCGGGTCCACCGCCGACAACAAGTATTTCGGTTGCAGTTGGCTGGCTAGTATCTCAGCCAAATTCACTGTAGCAGAAGAATCGATATCAGCCACTTACAAGTGTTCGAGTGGCCATTTTTGTGAAGGGAATTGTAGGAAAGAGAAAGTCGCCATGCCTTTATATACGAGATTCGCTTCAGAAACTGTGTCTTGAATAATGCAACGTAGCAATATTCTCGCATCCGAGGAAGCCGCTAGATCATCTCGACCGAGTTAGACTAAACGGTCAACTGGAGTAACTTGGCCACCGCGCGCGGGTGTTCTGCAAGTCAAAAATCATTCGATCAAAATTGATGAATGTACGTACTGATGCCCAGTCGACATTATTACGGTACTGCAAGAGAACATGACATTTAATGGCAGACAGGCTGACTTACTGTACAATGTAATGGGCCAGCTACTTGTACAAATCAAGAAATCAGCCGTGGCGCTTGTTTTTGTCTGTACGTATTATTAAGCGTGCAAATGTAAGCACGCTGGCTTACCTGAGTTCTCATAATCAGTACATATACCGTCGCTGATATTTCACCTTTTGGTGTAACGGTTATGCGTGGCGGCGGTCTGACCATGCTACAGCAAAGTTGCAAACTCTAGATCTAAATAATTAGCGCAATTATGCGACTATGTGTCATTACTATGTCCGGGGACCGGGATTACTGTGTGCAGCTGCGTGTTTTTTTATTTGTTGGTCTATCATATTCGGCACTTTCTTACATGCCGACCGGAGGGGAATACTAGAAATGAACGCTTAACTTACACGCGTTACAGACACTTACGAACGCTTACGACTTCACTGGTAGCGCACTCTGAAGATAACATAGGCTTGATTTGATCTCTAAAACAATATAGACAACATGGTGCAGTTGAGCTGCAACGAAACAACTAGTGCAAGTCTGAGCGCAATGCATAATACACCTGCAGTGGTCACAAAGTGTGATTGTACTAACTTAACCAAAAACGGACGTTACGGACGCTTGGCCTACTTGGTCACATTTGCTGATTCGGGCCTAGTACTAGCAGAGGCTCGAGAACTGATTGGGAACCTGATATCAATCTCGGTTCTAGATCCATGATAGCACGAGAATCAAAGTAGAGGCGCAATTATACAACCAAAACATTCACTTTGTTACAAGGCACACTCACACCTACTAGTACTCAACATCTAACTGCTCTCCACGAACCTTAAAAGTAGCTGTCAAAACGATATGCATTGATGACCGGCCACCAAGTAAGATCATTTGAGACTATGGCCATATTGGTAGAGAATGCGGGTGGGTGAGAGGCGAAATGGCTGGACGTATGAAAACGGCATTAGTGCTAGTTATACCACCATCCGGTGCGCAGATCAGCGAAACGAGATCAGGATATTCGATGATGACGGTTCCTGCTTTGGTTGGTCGAAGTAGATATTTCTGCATGAGGAAAAAAGTCGAGCAGCTGTACAATTTCATCAGGTGGCCTTGGTTAGGCTTTGAAAGAGTGGGATGCCACGGCTAAAGACTAAGTACTTACTTTGATTTGGATGTTGGCGTACCCGCCGGGTGTGGACCCGGGACCGGCGTGTGAATAACATACAATATCGCACTAGTAGTCGTCAGCTGGTTTATGATGATAAACGGGCATGGGCATTTGGGAACAAGAATAATATATGAGACGAGCAGCCTCAGCGTGAACTAGACAGTCTAGACTGCACTGTGGGCACAATGAATCACAAGTGTTTGCATTCGCGCACCAAACATAATACAACAGTCGCTGTTCGTTGAAGCTTGTCTAAACTTTACTAATCAAAGCCTGTGGCGCTGGTAACCTTCGGCGTTTGAGGAGTCAAAAAATGAACCAACCAACCACTGTTGACGCTTACGGCTCTGCAAGCAACAGGCTGAAAAGTCGTTCCGGAACTTCCGGAACTCACATCTGTCCCACTCTCTCTTGTCGCCCCACTCGCATCGGTCATGGAAGACGAGAATGGACCTGTGCGTCAAGTTCGTCGGACAAGCACTATGCCATCGAAACTACAAGGAATGACTATCGCATTAGCTCAGTTACGCCCTAGCCATGCCTGACAGGTCATCCAGACTTAAGCCAACAGCAGTGGGAATGACATGGAACCCTCACGATAATCAGCCATAACGATATGTTTGTCCTACATGGGCTACTGCTGGACATCTCGATCTAGGTCTCGTAAAACAGTGCAGAAACTGTTTGTGTGATGTAGATGAGTGCATGAATGGGGTCAAGGAAGCTTGATGGGAGGGCGACATGTAGCCTGCGAAACTAGGTACGGCGGACATCTGAGGGTGTCAAAATGTTCAAATACAACTGACACAGGGATCGGTGGACCGTGGTGAGGTGTGACGTTGCTTTCCTTAGTCAACTATGAATTGCGGGTTTGAGCTGGTGCGTATATTGATCCACCTAGCTCTTAATTTTCATGCGTCGGTGTTGTTCTGGCAGATAGAACAGTAAGGTGAGAGGTGTGCTGTAAACGACTTAGGTCACAGAATCCAAGAGGTCGAACCGAGCATGTGCACATAAATCATCTATGATGAACGACGATAGCCTGGCACGACCTGACAAGTGAAACATAGTCATATACGACAAATTAAATGCAAATAATACTTAGAAGCAGTACGCTTCCCCTCCACCGACTCCGCCATGGTTGAAATATCGATGGGTAATCCTGATTTTTCAGCATGCCGATTTGCAGGTATCGTTATCGTTATCGTCCTGGTGTGTGATTTGCGTTATGTGCACCTCCACTGGGGTACGCTTGACATCATATCGCTGCTGTGTTTCTCGTGCCATCTCGTTGGCTACCCTGACAGTCGAGAGATAACTATGACTTGAAGTTGTTTTCTTCATTGCTATTCGGATAATAATCATATAGAAGGTAATAGAGATGATCGGCGTAATCTAGGTAGCCAAAGCTTAGTTATTTTTGATAAAAGGGAGTTGACAGTGGAAATTACCATGTCTAGTACGACGTATTGTCCGTTGTTCGCTTTGACGAAACATATTAATGTCGACAAGAGCGTCACAGAGTACAGAATAGCGGAATCTGCAAGCACGCGCACTATTGGCATCATAGAGCTCTTCGTAGCGCGAAGTGCGGAGACATCACATTCCATCCTCCAGATCCGATATGCCAGAGATCCTGAAACAAATTGGTCTCGGGCTTCGATTACTCAGGTAGAAAGTATGCTCACCTGAAGCCGATAAATTACTTCCAAGTGTCATGGCATAGAAGGTCATGATCCATGGACCAGTTGATTTGGCGAAAATGTCTCCAGCATCGCTAGTTGCTTTTGAAAAACTGTAGACTGCACCAAAGCCGGACACTTGAATGGAACATCAGAGGGACGACTTCCTGAGCATGGTTGCGACCTGACCTGCCATACCGAACCACAACAAACTCGGTACAATAATAACCCACACAGATTGCCAGACAACGTAACAGCGATAAATCTTTGGCCGGAAAAGACATTTCATAAGCAAGAGGGTTGCAATCTGGCAGATAAAAATTGAACCCACCACCATTCCATCGCCAAGCATTGTCTGCGAGGTATATAGTATATTCTTGACCATAAATGTGATTTGGGCAACATCTGCAAAGAATGCCTCTGGTCCCCCTGGGAATGTATTACGATAGGTGACCAGTCCCTGTTCAGCACGAATGAAGTCTACTATCATGTGCTTGTGAGGCTTGAGTACTGGATGACGCCAGATGCAAAAGGGGAGAAACTTACTGCAGTACTTAGGATCAGCAGCATGCATGCCACCACAACATTTGGGCGATGAATCTCGTTCACACGACGTCTGTAGGTCAATGCCCACATGGTACCAATAAACATGAGGACTGAAAAGCCTGAATAACCCAAGCTTAGTGGGCATGGGACGGACAAATCCATTGTGATACATACCATATAAGATTCCTTCCATCGTGGTTGAAAATATAGCAGCAGTATCCAGTGGCATGCCTCTCGAAGCCATAGCAAGTGGAGTCTTGGGGGTGTATCGAGGATTAGGATGCGGATATCTTGTCTAGTCTCATGTCAGCTCAGGTTCTTTAAGTGCTAACATGTCATCTGCCGATTACATGCCATGATGAATTGCACCGGTACCTTTTCACCACAGTAAACCCGATTGGCTTGGACTTGAAACATCGCAACCATGATGCCAACCATCATAGTACCAAACATTTCATGGATAGCCTCGGTCCAATTTCATTACGGAAGTAGTGAGGCTCTCATCTGCGAGTTCATAATTATATAGCATTCGTACCAGTAGCATGCACACCGTACGTACCCACTGAGGCCTGAGGACTTGGATGATGTCATATTTGAAACTGCGGAGATCAGTCATGGATACCATTGGATGCTGTAACTGCAACAGGCGGAGGTGTGCACAAGAGCGCTCAAGGCATGCGTTTGATCCCATAGACGCAGTTTGGAGAGATCTCAATTGCTATGTGCCACACACCCGATCTCCCCGTTAATCAGTAGACGGAGAGAGATCTTGTCACCGTGTTCCCTTTCAATGTTGCTAAAGTCAAGTGCCACAATCCGACTGGCCTCCCCACACTTTTTTGCAGTAGTCACCCCTACGATAGCAAATAGAGAGTGATATTTTTCATACTCAAATCTGTAGAGAAAGTAGCTGGAGACATTAGGTCAGGACATAGTCTCATTTCTCACAATTTCGCAAGGTCCGCGGGATAACGTCGATTTCAAAATGGCGTTACATTGGAAATGACGCTATCACTATCTTGCGTGTTGATCGGGGATAGGTCGTTGACCAATACAGAATGACCAGGAGAGGTCGACGTATAATGGATGGATTGTGGACATACTCTATCAAAAACAAATGAACCTCATTGAAAGCAGCCAATAAAAAACTGTCAACACTACTTACCGCATACCAAAGCCAAAAGTCAAAAGTCAACGACTTCATGTCATCTTTAGACGACCTTCTGAATTGGGCCAGCGCAAATTGTCCCGGTCTGGACAGGCGATAGCGCCACGACAGATTGTCCCTGAAATTGACAGATTCAGTTAATGAAGCTATGCAGTGTCAGTCAGGAGTAAAACCTTAGTAACAATGACCGCTGCACCCTCAGGAATGCGCGTACTATGATAAGAACGGGGCTACTGTACGGTTGACAAATCCAAGTCTGTGTATGAAGGCAACCGTAACGCGCTACACCTGGCGCTCGACTCGTCATCCGATGGTTATGATGCACTCCCACTTTCGCGCCTATATCAGTCGCGCCCTCGAATCCCCACGCAGCCACTTATCTCCTTCACAGTGTCTGGAAACCACCCTCGCCACTGAACAGGTAGAATCGTGGAGCGTGTCACTAATGCTATGCATTATGGGGATAGTAGCTTTATTTATGCTAGCTGTGGGCACTTGCTTGTAAGTCGTGGATGCAGCCTAGTACTTGATGAGGGTCTGCATCAGGTTGAGGCCGTGGAATCCATTTCAGAAACGGGTGGACTTTGTACAACCTAAAGAAATTGATTTATTGCCAGCAAGAGGCGTGCCTTCCAACATGCCAAAAGTTGGGATACCCTCCCTGGGGTGACAACGTGCGGTCATTTTGCGAGAATTGTAAAAGAATGACACGAAAAGCGAGCAAAGTGCAACGTTGTATAAGAATGACATCTGGATTATATCAAGTTCTGTTTTCCGAGGAATTTGACAGTCACGTGCCCCAGGCTGATGGACGCCATGAGTCTGAACAGTTTGTCATTCCTTTCATTCTTCGTGACCCATTGAATGGAGGAAATTGCATCTAAGCACCAATAAGTAATCGGCCATCTGGCTTCAACTGCGTCCAGGTGGAAACTAGCAGTAGTGTGTAGCGCAGAACATTCTCGATATGGTTGTTTTGCATAGTCTATAGGGCTGTGGGAAAATTCTCACTTGCAGCACCTGGAGTTTACCTTTTCATCAGCAAGCCAAACTACTATGGGCGATGCGACGAGTCCCTATGGGTCCGCCTGTCTCGCTACAACTTTGCGGTGTGATAGGCTCGATATGTGTATAGTTAGAGAGTCGATCTGCCATGTTTTTCTGGAGGCATCTTCTCCATTTTCTTGCTGCCTCGCCGATTAGATTTTAAATATTGATGATCAATTTTTGTGTACGATACAGTACTACTATTGAGGTCGTTGGTATATTTTGTGCAACTAGTGCTACATATATCTTTCCCGTCGATATGATTCTTTCCTTCGCCGTATCGGCTCTGAGTCACTCAGCATATCCAGTGCGGTGGCTAGTGTCCTAGTTTTGTTCAGAAGAGGGTCTACCGGGAAGTCCTCGATCAGTTCCTGCATTGACATTTGGGAAGCAATAAGTCGTAGAACTGTCGCGACGTGCAGGACCACAAGTTCATCGAAAATATGCATATTGCTGACAAGCGTGTGGGCCTATGTCAGAATAACATAGCATGAGTAGTAGGATAGTATTCGGGATGAAGCACGCGATAGTAGCATACTGTAATTATGCTGCAGATGCCCAAAACAAACGCTGCCAGCTCACCATACCGTTTTTGAATGATTGGAGTGTCAATTGTATAAATTGGTCTGAACAGAGGTGTTTCCTGTGATTAAAAAGTACCGACATTTCTATAGTAGCAAATCTTGTCCATGAGCTTTGGTAGCTTCACGTAGCAGACGGGTATTCCTTCCTCGTGATTCCTGTTCCACACCAATGCCTTGGAATCATTTCCCCTCCGGCGTCTCCCACAAACTCCATTGATCAGATTCATCCGCAGGCGCATGGTCTACGACCACCGAGCGCTCGACGCGTACACGTATATCGAGCCCCATGTCATTGGCATTCCCTATTGCGAGGCGATGTGGGCGCGAGCTCTGCATCTTTGGAGGTTTTTTTCGACTGGCTCTTAGATTCGAACTGTGAGCGGAGACCAGACAATACTTTTTTCCGTGCACTGAGCGTGGGACGCAGCGATGATCACTCTTTCCGAATGCTGGGTGTCCGAATCGGTCATTTCTTTAGGATGCGAGGTGAGCGGAGCGGGAGTGGCGGAATAGACATGGCAAGAGTCAGTGGAATAGCAGTCAAGCTCTGGAGTGATGTGTACCTTGTACATGAATGAGGATACGTTGGCTCATGATCCATGTCACAGCATAGCCCATCGATGCCCTAATGATGCCATTTGAACAGTCTGAATCTCAGATGATGCGAAATAGTGCGACACTTACCCTGCAGACTAACAATAGGAGCAGGCCAACATAATTGTTGAGTTTCCACTGTGCAGCAGCAATTGAGCCTACGTACCTGAGTCGAGACATCGGTTGTATGATAAAGGATGAGGTTCAGTACGTTCGACGCTGAGGGAATATTAAGAGCGTGATTATCACAAGGAGAGCATCACTTGCCAGTTAACACGACAAAATATCCAATGCCGTCATATATCAGGCTAAGTACAATGAGTGATGCGCATCATCTATGCCAGGGATTAATGACTTACACCCGTATCAGTTGTTCTACTCTGGCAACGATGGTTTAGCGACCGTAAAGAAAGAGAGAAAAGGCGCACCTGCTGCTCAAAGGATTATAACGTAGAAGGTTCCTCGTAGAAATCGACACCACCACAATGTCATACACCATAGCGGCGAGGTAGAAGAACCAAGTTGACAATGTTTTGGCAGCATCTGCTGAGGTGCAGCTATAGTTGATGGAGATATCAGCTGAATGCCTCATATTGGTGACAAAGGAACCACTTACTTGCCCTAAAAAGAAACGCTATTTGCGTGAGATCTTGTTATGAGAAACACTGACGTACATTAATAACCACAGCTGTTAATTTTGATGGTCAATGTGAGCCCAGAATTAAAATATAGGCCAGAACTCACGGGCCCGTCCAAAGATATCAGTGAACCATTCGACCTAAAACATATAAACGAGGAACGTCACGACTGTGTTTTAAGAACCTACCACAACTATCAAGGGGTATATCAGCAATAGCGAAATTCCAACGCCCCTACCCCTCCTTGAAACATTGAATGTCCTATACGGTATTTCAGTCTGTGCAGCTCATGTCCCACAAAAACACTGCAGGACATACCTGACACCTAGGATGACCTGTGCTATCATCATTTGTATGACTACGGTATGGTCAATAAGGCCCTGGTGGGTAAACGCCAACAGAGCAAACCTTTGAAAATAGGCGGAACAAGATAATATTGTTGACACGCTTGTTGGGTAAAGCTGGTGGAGAAGTATCCGTAATTGCTGGCTACTACAGCCACGATACTGACATAGCTCCATTGAATGTGAGCGAAAAAAACCACATGTGAAAAAATGAGAACAAAAAATACCGTATGAGAATGAATAAGATACAGGATAGACTGTTGGGAATCAAGCTCGTCAACGACTGTATATGAATGCTCGCCTATACATACCTCATATGAAAAACAGACGATTGGCTTCGATAAAGGCGCCATTCTGCAGGGAGTGTGAGGATATAACTGGACGTAGTCAGTTAGAATACTGCGACAACCACGGGAACGCAACAGGGAAAACAAAGGCTTACTCGTAAAATGCGATGGAGATAGATGCTATTCGCATATACTTCTCCGATGTTGTACTGTCTATGACCAAATTCCGTTCCATGATGTGTATGTAAAGCCCGTGTTGATTCTGTATGATGGGTCTACGTCAGACAGATCGTCCTCGATTAGGGAGGTAGAGGATGGGATAGATTTTGGATGTAGCAAGGCTCCGTCCTTATGGCGAAGGCTTTGAAAATGATCCGGACGCTTCGTTTTTAATAAGAGGAAGCAAGACTGGGTGAATCGGAGGATCACGGACTCGGAGGACATCATTTTTCTGACAAAACGACGCTTCGAAATTTAAAATTGATTGGACATGTTCGAATGAGTCTGGACCTGTCCGAGGCCCGAGGGTCGGAAATATTCAGGCCCAGTAAAACTTTCGTGCAAGCCAGCAAGCTTGGCATG